GCCATCCTCATGACATCCTTCTTTGTCCGTTCCCACTGCATGAAGAAACATGCCAAATCTTTTGCTCTAGTAGCTGTCTAGGAAGCTATGTTGATTATTACCAGCTAATGTTCCACTTCCTTACTGAAGAGAGGAGAGGAGGAGAAGTGGCAGAGGTGGCCTTAGAAAAAGAAAAAAAAAATAGCTCCCCTTTTCAAAATTTATTATCTTAACATACTCCCTTGCAACCATTCTGAACAGATGGGCTGTGATGACATAGGGCTCTCAAGATGCTGGCTCCTCATAATCAAACTATACAAATCCATGCACATTTTCTCTTGATTGAGTTCTCTTTGAATTCTCTCTTACAGGTGCACGGGAGACCTCCAATCTCCAAAAGGGCCAACTAAGGATGTGTGGCATTCCACACACAGCTCAGCATTGCAAAGCAGGGCTGGAAGCCGCAGCACATGCCTTAGTATTTAACCCAGATGTTGCACCTTAGACCCTCTAGGTGCTCTGTGAACCCTGCACAAGGAATCAGTCTCCTCTCCCCCATGGTAGGAACAGAGGCCATTTTCTTGTCTGTTACACCTACAATGCTCTTCAAGCCGGCTATGGATTCAGCTCATATTCACTATTTCACTTCTTCTCTCTGCTTTAATTTCTTCCTCTTCCTCCTATATATACAGCCCACATTCTCTTATCATTTCTGCATGCCCCTCTACCCTTCTGGTCATCTCCAGCAATTGCACTCTCCTGGCCTAGGTGCCACACTTACTACCTCAAACACCACCTGTTCACCCAAACATACCATGTCTGCTAAAAGCACCCTCTGCCAACACCATGGCTAGCTCATCCTCCTGCCTTCAATTGCACCTTCTATCTAGCTCCTCATCCCCCTCAAAAAATTTGGCATCACACTTGAGCACAGAGATGCACACAGAGGCATTGACATCTACTCCTTGCCAGGCTCCCACTTAACAAAACCCATTTTCATCCTTCCCTCAGAATTGCTCCTGCAGTCTGTGCCAAGTCACCCCCATCCTTCTCAAAGCACACTGTTACTTGGACTTCTTTCAACAGCAGCTAATGCAAGACATTACAGCACAGAAGCTTATAGCAACAACCAATGCATAAACAAAATCCAGACACATGAGAGAACACACTGTCAGCATTTAATAATGAACACTGATTGCAAATAGGGGGATGGAGTTCTCCATTCCTGTTTTTTCAGCAGCCAAAAGCCATCCAAGCCAAGAGACGCAGCCATTCACAAACCCGGATCCGCTAATAACGGAATGGACCTCACTCAGGGGCTGACTGCCTGCCCCAGGCCTGCTTGGTATCCATCTTACCCACCAAACAGACAGCCTCTTGGAGCATTCTGTCATACAAATACAAGGGCCTTAGAGAAGCAGGTTCAAAAGCCCTTTGGGCTTGCTGTGGATTTGCTCTGCAACCTTTGCAAAGTTCTAACTTCTGGAAATATCTTGTTGCTTGCCTTAAATCCCATCCCAAAATATTGTGGATCATGCTGGCGAGGGGCCTCAACATCCCAGTACCTCTAGAGAAAGCTACTGCAAAGGACAACAGGCTTCATAGTGTCACTTGAGTTGGAAGAGGCCCTTAAAGGCCACCTGGTCCACCTTCCCTGCAACAAACAGGGACATCTACAGATCTATCAGGTTGCTCAGAGCCTGGTCCAGCATGGCCTTGACTGTCTTCAGGGACGGGGCATCCACCACATCTTTGGGCAACCTGTTCCAGGCCTTCATTACTTTTATTGAAAAAACTTCTTCCTTACACCCAACCTAAATCTCCCGTTCTAATTTAAAACCACTTCCTCTTGTCCTATCTCCACAGACCTTGGTAAACAGTCTGTCCCCTTCTTTCTTGTTGCCCACCTTTAGATATTGAAAGGCTGCTCCCAGGTCTCCCCATGGTGAACAGCCCCAGCTCTCTCAGCCTGTCCTCACAGGAGAGGCGTTCCATCCTTTGGATCATTTTTGTGGCCCCCTTCTGGACAAGTTCCAACAGGCCCGTGTTTCCTGTTCTGAGGACTCACTGACTTCTTCAGGCAACATTCTCACTCACCAGAAAGGCTGGTTCTCATCATATACATTTCTTTCACTTTGCCCATCACCCATTACTCTGAACAGACAAATCATCCCCTAAGAGATCCACCAGAAAGACACTTGGGGTTCTCTAAAGCAGACCAGCTCTATCCAGCCGCAGTCCCTTTTTAGGAAACACATGCAGTTATCTCAGAGGAAATGTCCCTTCTTACCTGAGCTAGAGATGGTGTAAAACCCCATCAGGAGCACCTGGGAGATGAGTCTCGCAGCCTTGGACTGTTCAGCAAGTTGCTGAACCCCTTGAGAAAGTGGGGTAGCAGCCACAAGCCTGCAAGCAACTGAGCAAAAACGAAGTGGAGCTGCCTGCTGAGGGAGCCTTCCTCGTGGCCAGGCAGCCCCTCCCCCAGCCCTCAGGCCTGCTCTGCCTCTGGCACTCCTCATGCACACCAGCTGAGCCAATCAACTGATCACGCCAGCAGAAAGCAAGGTTTTTGTGTTTGAGGTTTTGTTGTTGCTTGTTGTTTTCCTCCTGTTAAGAGGCTACTGCTACTCAGAGGGGTGACCCCAAGGAGTGCCAGGGTGCAGTGCAGGATGTTACAACCAGGCCTGGGAAGACAGGGTGGGAATGGTGGTACAAAGTTTCCTCTTTCAGCTGTGATGACCTTGCATTTCACTTCATGGCACTACACTTCACATTTCCAAAAAATATAACGTCCCTAATTTTACAGTCAGTTGTGAAGACTTTGCAAGATGTATTTGGATAAGAAAATAGCAACAAAATGGAAAGTCAACACTCTTCCAAGTTTCTATCTGCTGCAGGGTTTCAGCTCCAGCACAAACATTCCAGGTGTCGGAAGCCCTCTGAGTGCCCTGCAGCTGAGCTTCCTGATCCAATCTGTCCAGCTGCATATGCAGTCTACACTGCATGCTGGTGTTCTCTCCACTGTACTCCTCAAGTGGACCTTAACCTACACCACCCTATTCCATCTCTCAGTCCCCCTCAGTACCCATCCTTCCCCTTTTGAGCCAGGCGTTGCAGTTACTGAGGACAGCCTCCAGAGAGTCCTAGCTTTTGCCTGGCTTTGGGAATTCTTAGTTCTGATGTTTGTTGTTTTTCAAACAAGAACATTGCTTTAACCATGAGATTTCAGCCTCACCAACATCGACCAGATTTGCACTCTAGGGATAAAGACAGAAGAACTGTGATCTACTAACCTTCATACTACATTGCAAAGTCCACCTTTCATTCAGGTTTATGTTTAATGAGATGACACAAAGAGCTAAGTAATGAGATATAGTATTCACGTGGATATAAACTGCATAAGCAAAGGCCTTGTCCAGCCTGTCTTTTCCTCCCTACTCTGCCCCTTGCGCCTCACAGCCAAACCCCTTTGCCCTTGTTCTGACTCTTTCCTGATCCTCCCATCAGGTGACAATTTGAATTTTAAAGCCATTTACACTCCAAAAGGGGCATAATCAGATTTTTATCCCATACTTTTCTGATGTGACTTTTTTATTATGACATCAAGTACTGACCCATAATAAGGATCTAAATGCCCAGTTTAATATCTATTACCAGTATATGCAGATGCATATAAAATTATAGTATCACCACATAACTACACATTAACCTCTTGAGCTCCATGACAGACAAACTCTCCAGGGAACACTGTATTCCAATTTTCATTTACCAGCAGTTGCTCAGTGACAAGCAGTAGAAGTTGTACTCATCTGCACCCCAAAACTCAAAGTACTTGCAGAATGACAGGGAATACTCACGTTCTGAATATACTAGGTCTGCTGCTTCCAGTTCCCAGCTGTTTGTGATAAGCATCTGATACTTTCCCATGAGCAAATGCCACAGTTGCATTTAAATATGTATACACAAGTAGGTTGTAGCTTACCCAAAAACAATTTCCAGGTGTCAGCAGAGTTGTGTCTGAGCCACATGGCAGCCACAATTATTGCTTTAGAAGAGAAGGAATAGGGTGTACAATATCATATCACATGCCATCTTAAATGCTTCTGTAGCACAAAATATGCACTTTTGTTCAGGAAGAGCCCATTTAGCACAGGCGTATAGGTGCAGTGTGTAAGCAAGGGATAATGTGGTCCACAAAGCTTTATAGCAATGATACGGATACAAGTGCAGCTACCTGCCCCATCTCAAGATGTTTTTTGTGGAAATTCAAACATTCTGATTTCTGTGTTTCAGGTCCGTTGCATCTGTTTACATCAGAAATTGCGAATTCAGCTGCAAATAGAGTCTGTTAACCAGATCTGACACAAGAATTCTAATAAACATTGGAGAAAGGTGGAGATTTTTTTGGTTTAAGTTTTAAGAAAAAGAAGAAGGAAAAGTGCTGATTTCTTAACAAGATTTAAACCTGAGATTCAAAGGAGAAAACAGAACAAAATACAGGACAGGCAAAAATCAACACTGTTCTTAATGCCTTTCTCCTTCCGATACAGTTCAGATTATTGACTCTGGTTCCAAAGATGACCTTAGGGCAAAAACACACAACAAAACTTCTGAGATGTCACTTTCTACTGACCTGGGCACTGACAGGCAAGTCCTTAAATAACAGTTGGTTTTCTGCACTGTATAGTCATTGCTTTGGAGTTTAGGGAAGAGAATCAGAGAGTAACACTTGAAATGTCTATGCAAGACATTAGCCAACAGTCATATTGGCCTGTGGTGTTCAGGTAAAAGTATATGAAGTGTAACTGCTCAAGACCAAGTTTTCACCTACCTATTGTTCTTTCTCAAGTTGTAGCAGATTAACAACTTCACAGCAGATCTTCTGCCATACTATGCATTTGGTCTGCTCTTCCTTTTTCAACTCCTTTGAAGTCCAGGACCCAGAGAGAAAGCATATTTTTGGAAGCTAAAATATCCTGTGAAGAAATCCCAACACAAAGGGAATACATACCAACAACCCCTAGTGTAAAAATAAATTTTATAGTTGTATATATACATACATACACATATGTATCTGGATACATATAGAAATATTCAAAATTGAAGAAACGAACTGTTATCCTAATTCATCCCTTTGTGCATAACATTACAATGTTAATTCAAATGATCACACAGTTTATTTTCAACCAGAATCCAGCTTCACAGAGCACCAAACACAAACCTCTGGGGAGAGGAAGGTCAAGAACTGGATGAGATGGATCTTATTCGTTTACTGCTAAAGGCAGAAAAACCAAAGCAGGAGACTGTCAAACCAAAGCTATTGTGATGAATGCAAGTGACCAACAGCCTTGAAGATATGCTTGCCTGTTGCCATCTCTATGATGCCTGATCTCTATGATGCCATCTCTACGGTGCACTTGTATTCCTGTACATTTTCATGAGGTGTATATTCTCTGAGGTGCAAAAGTATGAAACAAAAAACAGAGAGACTCCAGCAATGAGCACAGTGTTCCTCACCTCACCGGTATGTTGTGACTGAATTTCCAGAATCTCTGGGCACTCACAGCTGTCAAAGAAGTTAGAAAAAATTATTTGAGTCTACAAAATTTACCAGTTCATTGGTAGCACATCCTGGGCCTCCCAAATTCAGAGACAATTCCTAATTATTGTTTAGATCTCAACGACTGAAACTCTTCTGTAAAATAAGGGTGACAATAATATCCAAATTTCTAGTGCATAAATAAATCCATTAACATTTTATATTACCATAGCAGGAGGCACCCTGAAGACACTAACAAGGAAATTACTTCTTCCCTCTTCAGAGTACAGTCTGGATGCTGTGCAATGAATACAGCCTGAAGTGTCTAAATGAAGAAAAAACAAACCCATGCAGCTGTACACTGAGTGAACCTAAGCTCTCCCACACTGAGGCAGGAACCCAATGTGAAAGGGAAGAACCCCAACTTTTGCTACTGCTTGACTACACTGTACTGTGATGTAAAAGGGCTGGCTGTACTAATTAGAGCAACAAAGTCCACCTGAATTATAACCTGGTTTGCCAACATGTGCAAGCATGAATCATTTTTTCTTCTTCTTTCCCTTGTTAAAGAATACACTTGCTTAAATACCTAAACAAATGGAAACCCAGGAAGTTGATGTCTGGAGTCATGCAGCACACCTACTGATGTGGTAAGGAGAATGGCCACCGGTTCCAGGGTAGCTCCATGGCAGCCCCTGTGCTGGCTGAGTGCAGAGCAGGGGCAGTCCCATGGATCCTGGAAATCTGTTCCACTACGCCACATTCCTACTCCCTGTTGTGTCCACAATATCCAAAAGAAGTAGAAAAGTAGAAAAGGTGCATGAAAGCCCCTCTGGAAGCTCACTTTCTTAGGCTCTTTTGTGGAGACACCGGATAGTCAAGAAAGAAACCATAGAATTTCTTTCACTCTCCACACAGCATTCAGCATTAAGAGAATCTTCGTCTCTGGCTTTCTGAAAACAGGAATGCAGATGTCCCCAGGGACAGGGGGAGACTGAGTGAAGTCCACATGTTTGCAAAGCATAGAGTGAAGCACGATGAAGAAAACTCCTAAGGCAATGTTGGTGAACCTTTTATGAAGGTCTCCAGCTCTTCAAATACGATGCTATTTTAAGGGTGTTTTATACATTCCATGTGTTTTTGTCTTCCTAAGGGCAGACCCCCTGTCTAAAATGTGCATAAGCTCTCCTCTTGTTCTCATCCTCAGATATCTCCCTGTTGTTCCCTCACCTGGATTGAATGAAATGAATGTCATTTAGCAGTCTGAAATTCTATTTCTCTTCAATAAAAAGCAACTACCAAGTATCCACCTTTACTGGAAAACTGCTTGACTTTAGTAGAGAACAAATCTTGCACTCCCAAATTTGAAATATCATTTATATAGGTGAGAAATCTCCATAAGTACATAGTTAGTCTACTTGTATTCCTGTGTATTTTCATGAGGTGTAAATTCTCTGAGGTGCAAAAGTATGAAACAAGAATGATCTGAAAAATACCAGTAGTAGAATAAAGCCACCACTTCAATAGGACCCAACAGCCAGCCCTGCTACTGAAGTTACCAGCAGCCCTTCAAATAAGAAGTCATTGCCCCATGCCTGCAAAACTAAGGGAGTGACAAAAGAAAAAAACAAAAAAAGTCAGCTTAAACAAAAAAAAAAGAGTTAAGAAATGCCCCAATTATCAAATGAAATATTTATTACTAAGAAACAAATGCAGATAGGTGGAAGACTGAAGCTGCTCTTAACTGTGAATATCTGACTACATTTTGATTATTACCCACAGCTGATCATGTTTGCTGAACTGGGGTGCTTCTCCTAAGAAATTCTATTCTTAAGAGCTCTTCTCTCCTTCCTCCCAGCAAAAATCAGCACATTTCACCAGAAACACTTCTCAGTTCTCACAGGTGCAGCTTGAAGGCGAGAGAGGAAAATCACCAGAGCTTTACAAACTGGAAAACAAATCAAATAAACAACAAACAACCCACGTGTAAGATTAAGAATTGGAAGTGGCTTCCAACGGATCTTGACCATTGTTTTTAAAATGTACCATCAGCTTGGGTTCCTGGGAACAGTTAATGTAGAAGGAGCTCTGTTTCATTCCTCGCACAAGCATGCAAGCTATCAATTTAGGGACACAAATGCACTCATGAGAAAATTCAACGTCCACTGCTAATTTGATCTTTGAAGCTGCTGCTATCACTGGAAAATACAATGATGTAAATCAGTCTTAAAAGGATGCTACTTTTGGCAAAATGAATATATATCCATTAAAATATCAGTTGAGACTGACCACTCATTTAAATGAAATCTTTTTTTGGGACTTGGCAAATCCAAAGTGGTGACTTGGAAGTGAAAGGATACTTAAGAAACTCTGGAATCATTTCAAGCTCCAAACAGGGAGCAACACCATTGCCTAGACATGACATCATGGCAAATTAGGAAACAAACAAAAATTACTGAGCAAAGAATGGACATGATGAGTTACCTCAAATCTTCACCCAAGCTTGCAATTCAAAGGAAAAAAAGCAATTCCTACAGACTCTCAGGTTGCTGTTTGTATTCAAGGTATTTAAGGAAACAGACGAGGAAGCAAAAAGATTATGAACCATGCCAATTCTGTACATCTACTTGGATATCACTGAACCTTTTTCCACCTCTCAGCTCACTTTGTATCAGATACAACAAATCTTTCATATATTGATTTATTTCCAGTTTCTATAATCAGAACAGAGATTCTGCAAGTCCCTTTTTCAGATAACACATCTTAAAGACAAAAGAATACAAACAATCTTATTTACATTTCCCCCAAAACAGACTCCTAAGAATGCAGAATCCAATACTTACTAAACAGTTAAACGTTGTGACCGCATAAAACAGTTTTGACATATACTATGTGGCTCTTTAGAGTACAGCTGTTTGTGAACCTCTGAGTAAGTCTGGGACAGAAGGAAGCCACAATGAAACTGATGGTGCTATGGCAAACTGTCTGGTGTTGCCAGACTTGAAAGAAAATTCAAAGGCTTCACCAGTGTGTGGGGGCTCTCAGGTCAGGCCAGAGCAGTCTCGAGTCAATGCACTCTCACATATAATTCTGGCCAACAACAAAAAAATGCTAGTATGAGACATTAACATTACGTCCCCAAGACTTGGGATGTGAATCATAAAATCATAGAACAGTGTGGGTTGGAAAGGACCTTAAACATGTAAGCAACAACTCAAATGTGGCACTGTGCTATCACTGGAACATTACGTTTATTTTGGAAAAGTGATAGTGTGAAATATTTTAAAGTTGCACTCTCTCTACAAGGTCACTGCTCCCTACCATTATAGAATATATTTCCAGAAAACTGTTTCTTGCAGAAGCACCATCTTCTCTCAGATGAGTGAGGCACGGCTCCTCCATGAGAAGAACCCTTCCATCTTGGTCTTTTAGTATGATAAAGTTACCAGCCATCACAGAAGGAAACCAAACAGACTAAGCTTTGAAATATTCTGAATTACAAGAACTTTTTATCCAACAGTGCACAGTAATACAGCTAAAGGAAACACAGTGCATTTTGGAATTGAAAAAAATGGGTATTATTCTTACTTTATAGGAGCCCATGCGTTGAAAAGCAAAACTTCAGATTCAGGGTCAGCTGACTGAATATTTTATTGCAGTTATGGCACTGTTTGGGCAGCAAGGACTATGATATTTGGCTATACAAATATATGAAGCATGAATAGCAACAGGGAAGCAAGATTTCCTACTTCTGTAAAGAATACACTAGAACACAAGGCAGATTAATGTGGAATACTGGAGATGTTCATGGAGGAAAGGAACTAACAGGCTGAATGACAAGTTTTATACTGTGAGAATTACATGGGTTAATGGATTAATCAGCACTTGTTGACTGTCAACAGATAGTTGTACACAACAAAGAAGCTAGTTGTAAAGGAAGAATAGGACTCTTCAACCTTGCTGAAAAAAGCATAACAAGAAAAAGTGTCAGGCTGTTGATACTTAGAGAAAAGCATTCCAAGCATATTCCAAGAGAAGATGCAATTTCCTAACTGAGGGGACAATTAATAAGAAAAATGACTACCAAGGAAAATGATCTAATCCTTAAAGTTTCTGAAGTCAGATTACATGTCCCTCTAAAATTATAATTAAACTCAGTTGCAGGAAAAGTACTATTGCTAAAAGGTTCACAGAAGTTTTCTTCAGTCTTGAAAAAAGTTTGTATTTTTTGAGACCAGACACTGGGGATACTGGAATGTAAAAGGGGCATATCACCATACAACTCATTTGTTTTTAAGTTACCTCTATGCATACAAATTTGGCACTGTAAGAAACAGAATACCAAGCGAGGCAGACTTCTGACCTGACCTAGTGCTGCTTCTCTTACACTCTTCATCCCAATTTCTTCAGAGATTACAATTAAATTAGAACAGCTCTGCAAAACCTCATGGTCATAATATGATCACACTCACAACACTGGCAGCTCTGCTTTAAAGACAATGAATGTACCTGATCACACATGCAGGGGTCAGCAATACTTTTTTGTGATTATTGTTTGCAGGTATATATATATTTTGCATCTTTCTTTGATATAACAGAATGTATCAGTCCATCTTCCAATTTTACCAGTTCTCTGAGTTGGTACAAGAAGTCTCCTTTCCAGGTATTCCAGCTGAATATCAACACACTGAAATCACACTAACAGCCACGTCTGCACTTGAGATGGAATTCCACCCTCATCAAAGCTGGGAAGCACATTTTGTCTCCACAAGTTGGTATGTCACCTGACCGCAGGCTAGACATGCATGGGTGTCCAGTGACGGTTCAGTCTCATATGCCTGTGACACAGTTCACTTCCTTAAAGAACAAGATGCTTTGGTGCAGTTAAGATTCTCTGTTCTCTCTCTGTGCTGAATTCTATTCTTGTACTGGGTAAATATTAATGGCCTCTGATAATTTTGCTTTCTTTATAGCAAGTAGTCCCTTACGTTTTTTGCCCTAAGCAGCAGCATCATATTTTTCCTGTATTTTGTAGTACAAAACCAGAATGCCTCAATGCAAACACGAACAGGACTAGAATGCAGGAGACAAAGACACAACAATACAGTATCAAAGTGAGAACAGAAATTCATTCTCCCTTGATGGTCTCCTATCCAGGGCTGTTAAATCACATTTTTTGAACAAATGACACATAATGGGTTTACTTTTGCTTCACCGAGATGCTCTCTGGCTAAGAAACTGTTCCTGAAGACATCAAAGCAAAGTCCTTATCTGCTTGACATAATTCCTTCTCAATTTCCAGTCACATACATCATGGCATCTTCTTTCTTCAGTACAGAAGGCAATTACAATAAAGAAGATTCTCAACGACTGTTCTTCACCAATTTCCTTCTCATCCTCTGCCCACTGAGCAGCTGTCTGCAACATCCACCAAGCAACAGAGCGAGCTTCTACAGTTTGAAGGGCAGCACTAAGCACCTCAATATCATTATTCAGGAACGCTAGCAAGACACACCTCTGCATAGTACAATCATGAAGCTAATTTATCATTCAGTAGCACTAGTCCCAGCCTCCTAGGAGTTTCTCTCCAACTACTGTTTTCCTGCCTCCTTCACTCTTCACTGTACCTTACCTTAAAATCATAAATTCATTCTTTAATTTGCACCCTCCCCCCCCCAGTATCTACCAAACTGGAATGTAAGCCTCACAAAAGCTCACTGGGCTACAAGAAATGTGCGAAGAATAACTACTGAATGTTCTCCTCCTAGCTCTGGCTTTCTCTTCCACTACATATAAACGTTCTTGTACATAAATAAAGCCCTCTTTGCGTAAGAACGCCATTATGAGCTGGTCTTTATCACTTTGCAAACCTGTAGCAATTGCATGACGTTCCCAATAACAGACGCAGGAAGGAGAATACATTATGCCGCTTTATAGAAATGCAACGAGGAGGAAATGGGATTGATAGGCTAGTCAGCCTCACCTCTGCCCCTCCTAGGTTTATTGAGCAAGTTCTGCAAGCCATTTCCAAGCTTCAAAGGACAAGAAGGTGGCTAGGAGAGGCAGTCAGATTTATGAGGTATGAATTTGACTGCCTTCTAGAATGAAATGCTAGTGGAGGGCAGTGAATGCTGCTTACTTTGATTTCAGCAAACCTCTTGATGCAGTTTCTCACAGCATCATTATAAGCTGTACTGGGGAGCTCTGCGTGCAGCCCAGTGAGGTTGGTGAGAAACTGGTTGACCTGTCAAGCTCAAGGAATGACCAATGGTTTGAAATCTACATGGTAGCAAGGTATGAAAAGTGTGCCTCAGAAGACAATACTGGGATTGATGCTATTCTGTGTTTTCATGAATGATGCGGAGAAAGAAGACAGAACAAACTCTCAACAATAACAGAAAAACAGACATACTGGAGAGAGTTGCTGACATGCAAGAGGTACCACCCAGAGGGACCTTGACAGACTGAACGAGTAAGCAGACAAAAACCTCCTGAATCTCACCCAAAGGCAGGTACAGATTCTTGCATCTGGGACAGACTAGCCCTATATAAGACACTGGCTGAACATCAACTAGAGAGGAAGATAGATCTGGAAATAAGTGGGGAGTCCTGGTGGACAAGAAATGGAATACAAGTGAGTATTGCAAAACAACACAACTACTTCATTCATCAAAGAATGCTGCAAATATTGAAATCTGAATCAAGCTACTGAAGTATGACGATGAATTTAGATAAACCCTGGAGTAATAAGATGGAACATGACATGTGATTCATTTAGGTTGTCTGCCAGTCAGGAGAATCAAATTTGATCAAGAGCCTGATTGACCTACAAATGGAGTCTAACACAGAAATACTGAAGAGAGGGCAGCTGCAGGAATTTGAGTCTCCCCTCACTTTCAGGAAGTTGCAGTGGCAGGAAACACTATTTATCAAGACAAGGCCTGCTACGGTTGCTCTTCAGTAGTGCCACAGGTACATTCAAACTTTAAAGGCAAGTAAGACCTCCTAGGGAGCTTACAGTCTAAGCAAGGGCTTAACAAGATGAACAGCACTACTGACCTCAATAGGAAAATCTGATGATTTATCTTGCAGCGCCCCCAGAGAAAAATCATGTCAAGTCTGGTGTCTCTCCCAAGAGTGAGAGAAAGGCCACTAATTCCCTAAAACCTCACAACAACTTTCATAAAAGTTTTAAAATTGTCCTTAGATTACTGAAAAAGCAGAACTACTCCAAACAATCCTCAGAATATATCATACAATATCAGAATTGTTTTAAAAAGGGGGAGCACAAAAGGCCACCAATTAAAATTTCAACTGAATTGAAACAGAAGTGCATCTGTTGAACAGACTCAAATCGAGTGAAGTTTTAGAAGATCCTTCTTGAGATAAAAGCGTCTGAATTGCACAAATGCTCTTTTAGGGAGACTACTCCTTGTCACTGAAACTGGCTGCAGGTTAGGTTACAAGGTTCCCAAAACTAAAATTTATCTGCACACTGTCATAAGAAGGTGATCACCCTTGCCTTGCACATGCTCACAAGTCCTAGGCAGACAAGACACTACTTTTCAGTTCCAGACTATAGACCTCTCCCACTAACCCCCAAGCACCACTGAACCAAGCGCTTGAAGTACAAAATAAGACAATCCAGTAACTTTAAAACAGGAATACTCCTGTCTCCACAAAACCCCCACAGCCTGTCTCATAATCCGAACTGACCCCTGTACTCCTTTAGCAAGATAAAAGGGCTTTTCTTGATTCATATAGTTCTAAAATGTACCGCTAACAACAACAAAAAAAAACGTTTTGAGAGGGATTTGCATGGACAGATCTTACAGTTTGCTTGGGCTGCGAAACATAAATCCAATTTGGATCTCTCCCCAGGAATAAGCAGGTATTAGGGGATCAGAGATAGGCAGGATGTCTGTAATAGAACTGTATTTGTCAATCTGCATTTAGACTGAGCCATTCCATTTTTGTTTTGTATACGTTATGACCATTTAACATTTTAATACATAATTAAATATAAAATACCACCATATGCCCTTGCTATCAAATCTGTCCCTCAACTACTCATTTATAAAACAGAGGTAAACACGGCAAAACAATTAAAAAACCACTGCAAAAACAGTAAAAACAGTTCTAGGTGAACTTCCACATTCAGAATGAATTTTAGAAGCTTTAACAGTTCTGTCTGAAAGCTCCACCCAGTGAGGAAAGTAAAAACAACGGTATGCATACAAATATATCCTATTGATAAAAGACTTGAGAACCCGTGAGGTCACCGGTCCCTTGATACATCCTATACAGGTATATATTTTAAAAATGAACTCCAAAATATGCTGCAAATGGAATAATTGAAGTGTAATATGATACAGAATACAAAAAAAGTAGGAGAAATCACTACCCATATATACTGCAACATACAAGGTAACTGAGTATGAAGTGCAAGCATTACGTAGAGAACAGAATCTCTTCTGTGTATGCTGCAGAGTGACAATCATCAGCAGGTGGAGACACTTCCAACAGATAGAGCAGACAATACTTTCTGAAGGGAGCGAGAACATGAGACAGCTGTGGTCTGAACAAGGCCAAAAGTGCCCTGAATAGAAGTGATTCTTTGTTTTTTCATTCAGCTATCTGTTAACTTCAGTTGAAAATGTGCTGGGAAATTCTGACAATCACTTTTGAAGTTAAACACTAAGAAACAGAAGTTTGGTTTATCCTCTAACATACTTCAAATGTGTTGGAGGTCCAAGTTCCTTTCCATGACATCAGTTTGCACATTTATGTCCAACTGGTTCTCCCAAATCCTTGTCCAGGAAATTTAGGAAAGAACATGCAATACGCAAGCAAGACAGAAGACATTTGGAAAAAGACAGAAGGAAAAGGTCAAAGGGACCATGCTGCTAGTGGGCCAATGGCAATTTCTGAATTGACATGCACTGTACTCGTTTCATTAGAAGGAACATGGTTCAAGTTCATACACACAGCCTGAAACATTCCACAAACACAGAATTCTGCTTACATATTTCAACTTGTTATCACTCTCATTACCCAGCCAAGAAATCCTCCTGGCCTAGAAGAAATCAGGGGATGACTTCTGCCTCCTTCAGTAGCAGTGGGAACTTTCACCCAGAAAATGCCCAAATGCAGCAAACAAGCACAGAGTGCACAAAGATCCAAGATCTGAAACCCAAAAGATTCTGTACACAATCCATATGAATGAGTTGGCATCAGGTAAGGAGATGAACGCATAATAAATACAGCAATAGCAGGAACATTTTAAACAGTCACTGCAGTCCCAACGCTCGTTACCTGTTTTTAAACACAGATTCTGTCTGGATAATGGCGCACATCACGCACCAATACTGAGGATATCTCTACTGCCAAACAAGGTGTTTGGTGGAGAGTCAAACACGTCCAAAATCCAGCACGCTTTTACAGCTGCAAAGCTTCCTTTTGGCTGTATCCAGGCCTCTTCTCTGGCGGCATTTTAAAAAAGTTAGCGGAGGCAGCAATTGTGGCTTTCTCAGCTGCTGGTATTTTCCCTGTCCACTCAGGGTTCTGGGACCTCGGGGATGGTGGTGTTGCTGGTAGGTCTGACTCTGCAGCATCCATGTGCACAGATAAAGTTGCTGGAATATAAAATTGCAGAAAAGGGGGAACAGAGGAGGAGAGTAGGAAAAGGAAATAAAAAATGTTAGAACAAGAGACTTCATGGCAAACTCCTCATATACTTCAGTACTTATATATATATGAGGGTTTTATTTATTGAGTTCCTGCAAGTTCTGCTCCCTGCAAGTTCTTTGACGTATAAATACTTGATGGCATTAGCATCGTGGCCCTGATGATTTCCACATTCTGAACTTTCAGTTCCATTAGTCAAAGTTCCTACTGAAAAATCGAGAATTTCAAAGTCTCTGAAACATCGGCCATTTCCAGATTGCAAAGCTCAGAGAAGAAAACAGTACTGACACTGGTACTGACAATACCATGAACTTCCACATATATTCAACATGGTAAATCAGTTTACTAGAGCAAGAAGCTGCCTGCAATGCTAGGCTGGAATCCATTCTCATTTTCTCAACACGATCACTGGTTCAAAATGGAACAAGATACAACTAGCAGAAAAGATTCGCAGATCCACAGCTCAACTGAACTGTAACCCAAATTTCTAGAATGACCATAAGAAACCTGGAGATGTGACAGTTTACTTCCATTCTCAGTATTCTGAATTGCAAGCAGAACAGAGGAAGATAAAAACAAGAAATTGTCAGAAGAGTCTTTTGGGCAACCACAGGTTTTTCTGAACAAGCAACTGCTTCAGTACCCAACACATCATTTTTGCCTTGTATTCTCCCAACAGATAATAACTGCTTGTGTACTTTCATTACAAGCCGATTCTGCTGCTCTGTAGTGGATGAATGATAAAAAAAAGGCCACAGCAAGCCTCAACTAGAACACTGACTGCTTTGAAGTTTACATAAAAAGCCAGTATCAGTGGCTGAGGTTAGCAGTTAATGCACTTGGTAGACCCTGGAACCCAACAGTCTTGGTCATCTAAAACAGTGAGTCATTCATGCATCTACAATAACACAGCTGATAACACTACATGGCATGTTTTACTTTGAGCCTATTGATCTTCACCTGGAGGCAAGAGGAAATATGCAGGAAGAAACAGTAACAAAACAAGTGAAAAATCCTTAAATATTAATTACCACCAAAACTACACAAACGACACTCACTAGCAGTCTCCCCACCTTTGGCTTCTCCTTATGAGGTACCATCACACCATGAGTAGATGTATTAGCATTAGCAAGAAACCGAGCAGCAAGAGTCACTAACCTGCTGCTACTCAGACTGTTCTCTGATAAGCAGTTTCAGAAGCTGCTGACACCTTTACAAATTTTTTAATTAATTTATTTTACAAGTATGAACGCATACAAAGAGAAACAAAATCTATTTAAGAAGATTTTTCATCCAGATTCATCAGTGGGATGCCTGAATAAAATGTTGGTTATTTGGTTACCATGTGCACTGCTACATATACAGGTGGCTGAAACACACAACCACAGACACTAAACACATCAATATAAAGTTGGACAGTTGTTCGCTATGTGTTTCATGACCATACACACCTGTGGTCTACTCTAACAAATGGAAGACAGACACAACAATCTTTTTGAGATCCCTTTCAAGACAGAGAATAATTACAATGAGAATAAGGAAATACTATTTCTCAGACCACAATGCCACTGAGGAATTCACACAAAAAATATACCGCAATGGAGTCTAACAGAATACAAGGACACTATCAACAAATTCTGATGCCCCTAATCTTAGATCACTGAAAGTTTGAAGGCCCTTCATCACCACAGACTTTCCTGCTGTCTAGGCACTGGCTTTTGGTCCCTGAATTGGACAAACTTTTAATCTAATCTAGTACAGCCAATGTTTCTCCAGATCTCCTTATTCCTTGGCCAAATTACATCAGTTGGACTTTTGATCTTACCCTGTTAAAGCATTATGCATTAGGAGTCACACACAGAGGTATCACGTAGTATAGAAAGCACTAACTTTCATTTTCAGTCTCTCTCAACACTCACACAAGTGTATCAACTTATTTTTGATTATAATTGTCACTTCCTGAAAAGCAAATGAATTTTCTGCCCATTTTTTCCTTTGTCTCCACATGCAGGTCTTTTCCTAAAATGCTACTTTTCAGCAACTCAGTTGCGATATTCAGGCTAGTTAGCCTCAAACTGTGGCAAATAATGGAAGTTTAATGCTATAATGACAAACATTGTGGCATTTCTGCTACAGTAGTTTATGTCCTTTGACATTCGTACAGAGGTCTCTAACAAAACGTAACTACAAACCCTTCAGTATTGTCAGAAAAACATGTGAGAAGACAACAGAATAAACTTAGTTTGCTTGGGTCTCAAATAAACACATCTCCAGCTCCTTTCTCTCATTCCTGCAACTAGAAAGAAGCCGACATCCACATCCCATATTCCTTTTATTAGCATCTTCTGATTTCAGCCAAATTCAACTCAAAACTTTCAGTGGATGACGGCGGCGGAGGAGGTGACAGGGGAAGATTTGTAGCTGCATGTTTAAGAAAGAAGCTAAATTCATCACAATGACAGGGGAGAGTGTTGGCAGAGATTTGAGCTATTTATTCTTTTAGGAAAATCCTATAAAGAATGACACGAGGAAGCCTCTATCTGCAGTCTTGTTCATCACACTGGTGAGGAGTCCGATAACAGATGTATGCAGTAGTGTGATTTAGTGCCGGGAGCTGGCCCCTGATGTGTATTAATACAGCGGCAAAGCGGAACGAGCCCCTCTTCATCACTCATTTCTATAAAAGAGGTGGAATCTGAGATGGCCCGATGTTCGGCAGAGCAAGCCCATTTGTTCTGCTGACTGATGGAGCCAGCTCAGGCTGTGTCCTTCACCTCCATGGGGCACTCAGGTTGCAAAAAAAGGAGATCACTGAAGCAGGACCTGGTCAACAAGTGAGACGAGAGCAGTTGGACTCTGCTAAGAAGCTATTTAAAAGTGAAGAAATCCAGCGCCGTGTATTTCTGCAGTGACAGGCATGGGCCTGCATTTTGATCCTCCCGTGTTCCATCTTTTGCAAAAGGAATAAGGCACCACAAACAGAAAGAGCTTCTGCAGTGAGAAAATGAGGCTGCCGTGATTCCTCAGGGACAAGAAATTCAGCATATGGCATCTATGCAGTGATGTGTAGGTGTACGAAGGCAGAAAAATCTGCATCTGTCCCACCAACATCCAGCAAGCATAAGATGCTTCAGTTAATTCTGCATTTCTGCAGAGTAATTCTGTGTTATTTCTTTGGGCATCAGTAATTCTGCAGTCAGAGCATCTTTAACAGAAATACCACCAAACTTCAGAAATTTCCAAGTTATGTGCCCAGGTTGTGCTCCAGCTGCCACTGAGAGAACGCCGTAGAAAGTCAGCAAGGATGCAGCTTCAGTTACCCAATCACAAGAGCTTCTTTCTGTAAGTACTGTAGAAAACCCTGACCATCTTTTAATGTTGCTGGAGGTGTTTCTAAGCACGTTCAAAGAAAATCTTTGCCATTTCTGACTATTAATGATTTTGCAGCAGTTTTCTCTCTATGATCAACACAAGCATCTTGTCCAGATTCCAGAGCAACGCTCTCCTTCCTTCATTTGTAACACTTTTTTTCCCACTCCTCCTGAAAGACTATCAGACCTCTATGCTATCTTCCACTGCTGAGTTCCAATCCAGATGCAGATTCAGTTCCATGAAAAATGTTCATCATGCACTTCCTCTAATCAAATATATTTTAGATAATATTTTGAAAGATACAGGCACAGAAATAGAAGCTCTCCCTATAGAATGTAAGCAGCAACGCAGCACAGAAATTGCACTCTGAACTAAAAAACAAACAGACAGGTAAACAGTGTCTCATAATAATGAGACATGAGCATTCATACCAAAAAAAAACTGGTATACCAGAACTAAAATTCTGTGGCTACAAATATGCAATTTTATTAATCCTTTCACTACAGAAGTCTGAATACCCTAGCACAAGATACTCAAAAGCTAGAAAAGGACATCCTAAATCAACAGTCAATAACAACATTTTCATTGAGCAACAGATTATTCATTTTCATGTTCTTTTATCTTTAACATAAAACCTTTTAAACACTCTCCAATCCAGATCTCTGGCCTGGAAAGATGGCATAGCTTTCTTCCCTATTTTGTTATTCTATTGCCTATCCACCTGCCCTACAATGAAACCCACCAAACCTCATTCCTCCTATTAATCTTCAGTTCCATTGGCTTTTATGGTTTTCACATCATCATTTTTCCCATCAGCTCAACCAATCTTTGGATTGTGCACTGTCTTAATGAGCTAGCTGGAAGGTCACTGGTCATTTAGTAGCAGGAAAAATGTTTCAAGCAATGTGAGGATATAAAGAAGTCTCCTAAAGTCCTCTGTGTTCTGCATACACACTTTCTCAGATTCTGAAAGATGAATAAACCAGCTTTTTAATCACTACAACCAAAGTAAGAAAAAATGAGACTTTTTTAAGCTCAACAGCAAGACAACTCCAAGAGAATACAGCTCTTCTCACTGAGCGATCACGCAAAAACTGCCCGATTTCTCCTCCTGCAAAGTGCCTTGTGGCACCCTGAAAAAGCTACCAGCTGATGTCAACCCAAAACTGGAGGAACAGTACAGCATGCTGATCATCAAGTGCTGCACAACTTAGGAACTGAGGAAGGAACTCCTTCTTGACAAAACAGATTATTAGCCACCACACAGTGAAGCAGTAAGTTATGCTAGCTTCACATAGCTGCATTATCAGACCTTTTTGTTAGGCAGCTTTTCATGCTACACAAAAAACACACAACATTTTCTCACAAGTTGCCTTTCTCACTTTTTGTTTTTAGTTTCAAATTGAGGTAATGCTATTTTTCACTGCTCTGACTTTGGCACTGTGCCCAAGAGGGACACGACTTTAGAAATGCTGACACACACACAAATCCAGGCTACCTGACGTTGGGCTGGACACGGAGGCTGCAGCTGGCTTTCGTTTCCTCTTGATGTCCCTTGAGCACGGTGGTCCCAGGTGTACATTTGCTTGCCTACAGAGAAATTAAAACAGCAAATTAAACTCTGTTCCAGTGTCACCTTCCCACAAGATTCTGGCTGATCATCTCCAGCCCTCCTCTGCCTCAGTCTGCCCCAGTAACCAAAATGAATCAAAGGCTTCCCAGGGAAGTTTCCCTCACACCTTTTGTTATCATACAATTAGGCTTCCATTTCTTTAAGAGCGCACACCCATAAACTGAGCAGAATAATTATTGTTTCCTAGCATTTAAAGGATATGGAATAGTAATCAATTTTAAATAACTCTTTTGCAAAAGTAAAGACGTGATCAAGCAGTGATGTGACACACCCTATCATTATTTCTGCACAAGTTTAAAAAAAAGGCTGCAAAATTGCCTGGAAGAAATTACATTTGCCCGCTTATTCAGGAATTATTTTACTACATACATATATTCAGAGCTGTAGAGAACATCTCAGGATATACCTATAGTCCAAATGACTACAAAAGTAAGTTCATAAATTTAGTTAGAAACTCAAAACTTTCATGCATTTTCAAAATTAAAATTTCCTTATAGATGATACAACGAAAACAGCTGAATCTGGCTTGCAATATTATAGACTTTCTGACACCTGAAAGAGAATGGAGAGGCATAAACTGTCCCAGCCACACCAGCTGACAACCCTTTGTCAGTTAAGAAGAAACCTGCCTTATTAGGAGCGGCTCAAATAGAGCAACTCCTCCAAGTTCTACATGTTGGAAGAAAGGAAGATTCATTCAGAAAAGACAGCCTGGAGCAGAAAAAAAAAAGGAAAAAAATCAGCCCAGAGCATCTTCTCATTCTACAGAATGTTTATCCAAGCGCAAAAAACTTTCACAAGTTTTTCTACAAGATAACATGAGCAAGAGATCATTGCTTCATATTTCCATACCAAATTCTTCTTTTAAAAAAAAGATGTATCTGTAATATCATCTAAAACAATTTAGGAAGCTGAATTTATGCAACTATGAAATTTGCTGCTGTAGAACTGTACAGAACAGTGCAAGGGGCACACAAAAAATCCACGTACAAGTCAAAATTACCAATTGTTTGAATGCTGCTGGGCCTACCTACTTACCTTCAACAAGTATGCAGTCACAAAATAAGAAAGAAAAAACAACATAATAGCTACCATTCTGCATTCTCAACTGAAATTCCCAAGTTCTACATGATTTGTCATCTTAGTTTGACATTAAGGCACAACTTGAATTTATTATTTTTTTTTTTTTTTAACTTGTATTAAGTTTCACCAAGGGCCAATTTTTCAAATCATTTCTAGGAGCTCTTATCAATATAATGAGGCAGAAGTCTCCTTGCAACATGAACTAATGGCTTTCAAAAATACCAGCACACCTGGAGACTGCACATGCAAATCCCACCCTTCTACACATAAATGACTAACTTGTAAGTTAACCCATGTAGGCTAAAAGTTGCTTTTGTATATAGCCGTAATGGTGGCCATACAATATTTTAGCACGCTCTTACAATGTATTCTCAAATATTTAAGCACACATAAATAAGGAAAAGATAGACTAATTCAAGTGGAACTTCAGGTTTTTGATTCAACATCAATATTACAAAATAATACTACTGACTAGATGACTAAGTTGTTATATATGATAATCCAAATCATTATTACATCATAGTAGAAAGGTTAACTTAATTTTATGAGCTTACCCCAATTATTAGCCAGCTGATCTTTTTGGAAGACTCACTACACACTACAGAGCAGGTATGCACAATCGTCTCCAGGGCACTTCATGCAATTTTTCCCACTTCACAAATGTTAGAGCTAGATTTAGAATAAGAGCTCCTGGTTCTCCGATCCATGCTCAAACCACACCTATCCTTACCTCACAATTACAAAAAAAGAGTAAGAAAAATGAAAAAGGGAGAGAATCTCATAATTGTTTCTCGTACTGAAAATAAAGGCACACTGTACTCCAGCTGGAGACTAGTAGCAAGGACACTGAAACCGGCAGCCCTGCCTCTAACATACAAAGGCTTGGAGTTATAAATAGTCACCATCACACATATTTCATTCAGGTTTATCCCTTATTGATCACCCACGCTCTAGTTAGTAAATCAGGAACCTATTGATTACTCAGTAGCTCTGACTGCCCTGGTGGTAAAAATGTCATTTTCAAGTGGTTGGTGTACTTTACAGGCACTGTAAATCTGCATACAGGGAACCTCCAGGTGGTAGATACTTTGGGAGAGGATGAAATGAAAGAATGCATACAGGAATGATATACCTCATTAAAACACGGGCAGGAAGGGTTCCTGTTACAAATCATGAATTGTTCATTTTCTGGTAGATACCACACTACTGGTATTATATTGGTAAGAGAAGAAATTGGCAAATCCCAGTTGTCTTAGTTTCAGCTGGGACAGATATTACCCTCTTGCTGGTATGGTTCTGTGTTGTGAATTTAGGATGAGAACGATGTTGTTAACACAAATGTTTTGGTTTAGTCCTAGAAGTTTTCAGCTTCCTGTGTTGCCCTGACAGTGATGGGCCAGGGGCACACAAGGAGCTGGGAGGGGACACAGCCAGGACAGCTGACCCACACTGGCCAAAGGGATATGCCATACCATATGGTGCCATGCTGAACAATAAAACGGGGATTTGGCTGGAGGAACTGACTGTGCTTGGAGACTGGCTGGGCATTGGTCAGCAGGTGGTGGGCAACTGCACTAGCAATTTGTATATTCTTCTACCGTCGTCATTATTACTTTCCCTTCATTTTCCGTCCTATTACACTGTCTTTATCTCAACCCACAAGTTCCACCTTTTTTCCAATATTCCTCCCATCTCACTGTCATGGGGGAAGTGAAAGAATAGCTGTGTGGTGCTGAGTTGCCTGTCAGGTTAAACCATACCAGTTTATCAGCAAACTCATAGGAACAGCACTGCCAGCAAGGTAAGGTAATGGATATGCACAGCACACCATCTCACAGCAGACAGATGTTAACTATAAAGTGTGAAGAATCTGTGTCATGATGCGACCATGAATTAGTTTTTCAGAAAATGTAGATTTTAACAACTCCTCCAAACAGGTTAAAAATAACTCCGAGGTAGAACTGAACAGGGCCAAGAGGAAAGGATAACAGCAAATGCACATTGTAGCATTGTCACAAGCCTCCTTGTGAAGAAGTCAGAGGTACCAAGCATTGTGTGACAGATTTGAGCCTAAACTGAGAAAACACAACGGCACTTAATCTGATCTTACTGGCTTTCTATTTCCTCTGCTAGGCTTCTATACTTTGTTGAACACTGCACGAACAGTAACAAGAAAACTATTGGACAGTGGCTGGTGATCATAAGAAAAAAAAAAATGGCAGTGCTAAATCACCATTAAATCTGCTAGTCAACCAGACACTAACATGGAAATCAACCTGTCTAGAGAGAACCGAAATTCTGCTCCAGGAAGAGAAAAACAGAACACACCTGGAGAGACAAAGCAGGATCCAAACTACAGCTTCCCTGCTAGCTACAATATATCCAATACATACAGTAACACCACAGCTTCTTACTGACAAGAGCTGGCAAATGAGAAGTAACACGTTAGAAACAAATGGTTTTATATAAAAAAATCTATAGTTTCTTTCTAAACATGTCTATATGTATATTTTAATCACAAGCTAAAGAATTATCCAGGAAATATGGACTTATCTTTTGCTCTTAACACAGTACTCAAGGTACATGGTGATTCTACATGCATCTCACAATGGAGAAAAATCAGGCTTTGCTCTGCACAAGGCTGGGATTTGTTGTTGTCTTTAACGTGTCAGAAGGATTTTGAATGTTTCCTTGCTTCCAGTTTCCAGATAGTTATTATATAACTGTTTGTTTGTTTAAATTAAGTGTAACTGTATATACTGGACTGCTACCTCACTCCTACAGATCAAAGTGACCGCATGCTGGACTGTCAGGATCATACAAGCTTGCCACTGTCATAGATATAAAACCCAGAAAATTGTAGGGTTTAGGACTGCCAAGCAATACAATCCACGAAAAACAACACAAAGCACAAGCAGTCACCAGTTCACAATGAATATAACTGAACAGAATTAGGTCCTTCAAACCCTCTCAGTCCGTAAAATGCTGTCCTCTTAAAACTCAGAGTAAAATACACCTCAATCTCAGAACAGAAGTCTTTGAAAACATCCTGCAAAACTAGCTGCAACAGTGTGTGGCCTTTTTGGAAACAGGTGGTGCATCGCACACTTGGGGGTGTACATCTCTTACTGTAATCTCATATTATTCAGTTTCTCTCCTGACAACCTCTGGAAGAAGCAAAACAAGTTGATTATATAGACAGTATTAGGTAGCCATTAATCTACTGTCACACAAACAAGGGGTGCTATTATCCTCATGTTAAAATAAACATTCAGCAGAGACAGCATCTAACAAGGGTACTACTGCTAAAAAAAATGCCACACAACCCAAGTGCGGCTGCTGAGAGGCTATATTGCCAGCAAACACAGGCCACACGAAACATTCTTCCTGTGAATCTGGAAGCATTACCTGAGGTTTATGGTGGCACAGAGGAATTGCCAGGTCATGGCATGGATCAATGGTTGAGCACCGGGTGAGAAGGTGTGGCCAACCCAGGGAGCTCAGGTACAAGCAATACACCTGAAAGACCAGAAGGGTTGGAGCCTGGATCCACCCCTCTTCACCCTCACTTAAGGGTTAGCAGCCGAAGGAGCAGCATCTCTCCAGATAGAGGTTGCACTCCTCTTGAGCCACTGCTGGTCACCAGAAATGAGCTAATTTTCCTTCTTTGTTATCTTCTATAGCTTTACAGTACATGTATCTCAGTAGAAGGTATTATAGTCACCTTTTTTTGCTATCCAAGTGGCTTCACAAAATTAAGAGTAGGAGCAGAATTTCTCCTCCTCTTTGAAACTACAGACTCAGATGGGCACCAAAGTTTGATCTGCACTTAACTTTTGTAAATCAATACAAGTCTTGTGCATAAGAGAGTCTCCTCTGCTCTGCAGAACCTCATGGGACAACTTCTAGAGCAGATTTCCAGATTCCAAAGTCACTACAAGTTAGTTCACTTCTTCAATCATCTGAATCTAATAAGCCTTCATGCAGCAATGCTCTGTTCCCCTATGCATTCTAATCACGTAGCAGTTTCATTCACTAAAGTTTGCATATAGTGAACAGAAAGGAACACATTTTTTCAATCATTACTCAAGTAAGCATTCTAAGTAGAGATTATGTGATCCCATGTATTGTATTCTCTCTTTTCATATAGACCTATACAACACGGGTTTGCCAGTAAGAGCAGATACTTAATACGTGCCTGACCTGAGTACACAGATCTGGCAAAAGCAATATACTTCATAGCAGAAGAAACCAGTAATAACTAAACAAGATGCTGAAACCAAGGGGAACTCATTTATTTTTCACTCTGGAGAATTAGAATTCACCAAAATGGAAGCATTAGGCCTTAGACAACTGATGCTAGACTGCTGTTTGTTGCATGCCCGTCAGAAGAATTCACTTATATCCCCAACTGGAATATTAACTGGAATATTAGTAGCAAAGGAAGACATGGAAGTGTTCTGGCTAAATGAAGAAAAAAAAGAAAGGGAAGAATGATACCTAAAGCAGCTGATGCATAAACATACATATAGACATCTCAGGAAGATGAAAATGTGTGGATAGATTGCATGGAATAAACCGGATACTGTCCTGATCAAGTGGGAGAGCATGAAATTGTGAAAATTCATTCAATCCTTCAGCTACCTCAGGAAAGGCCTGACCCACTTGCAGGCAATCTCTATATTTCCATATGCTTGGATAAGAGGCCAAAAGACCAGGATCTCTGTACAGATACAACAGAATGAGGTTTGCATAGACACGCATATTTCTAGAGCTGGAATTGCAGACGTTCCTCAAATCTCCAACTGCATCACCTACTTGCCATCTCACCAGGCACTGACATCCACTTTTCTTAAGACATTAGTTTTCACCCATAACCCTATTTTCAAGACTAAGCAAACAATAAATGATATTAGGGACAATTTATTGCCTACCCTCGCTTCTTATTCTACCTGTTTTACAACTCAAATTGAAGGGAACATTGGCTCTAGACTCTTCTGGAACTCACCCTGCCTCAACAGAATTACACCCCACGAAACAACAACCTATCACATTTTTCCACTGACAGATTCACTGACTAGCCAAAGTCTAATAAAATATTCTGCTTAAGCCTGTACAAAATTGTATCAAAACCAGCGTTGCCAGCAGGAGCAGAGAAGTGATCATCCCTCTGTACTCAGCCCTGGTGAGGCCACACCTTATGTACTGTGTTCAGTTTTGGGTCCCTCACTACAAGAAAGACACCGAGGTACTGGAGATGTCCAGAGAAGGGCAATGAAGCTGGTGAGGGGTCTGGAGCACAGGCCTTACGAGGAGCTGGGACTGTTTAGTCTGGAGAAGGGGAGGCTCAGAGGCAACCTTATCGTTCTCTACAACTACCTGAAAGGAGGTTGTGGTGAGGTGGCAGTCGGCCTCTTCTCCCACGTAACTAGTGATAGGACTAGAGGAAATGGCCTCAAGTCGTGACAAGGGAGAGTCAGGTTGGACTTTAGGAAATACTGCTTCTTTGAGAGAGTGGTCAGGTGTTGGACTGGGCTGCCCAGGGATGTGGGGCAGTCACCAAGCTTGGAGGGGTTCAATAAATGTTTAGACGTTGTACTGAGGGACACGATTTAGTGGGAAATATTGGTGATTGTTGGACTGGATGATCTCAGAGGTCTTTTTCAACCTTGATAATTCTATGATTCTATGAAAATCCTCTTCAAGTGGAGTTCAAGATAACAATTCTTTTCAGACCACTCTTTCTCCCAGAAAGGTAAGTGGGTAGAAAGGAATGAAGGGAGGATCACTTGGGCTGTCCATGCCAGTCTCGTCTTGCTTGCTTTTAACAGCCAGCATCGTCAAGCAGAAACCTTAACAGACAAGACATGATTAGCAAACGCTTTGTGCTCTTAAAGGAGAGTAATTATAGGCATGTGAAAAAAGGAAGAGATCCCTGAGGTACTCTTACTTGCATGCCTCCCGAGAGGCAGCAGGGCCATTAAAAATTCCATGATGAAGAGGAAAAACAGCCTGGGAACAGCCAGGAGGCAATACAGCAAATTAATACACCAGTTGTCCCTTGGGAGGGCTGCAAGAAAGCAGGAAACTCTCCTTGCTTCACAAAATAAAATTATACCACTAATGATAACAGTCACCACACACACAAAACTGCTTCTAATGATGGGTGTGAAATTCCCAGCGCTACGCACACACTTTGAATGAATCTCTTCTCATCACTGATATAAAGCAAGAAAGGTAATCTTGGAAGTGTACAATTCACACAGCCATTCAGTCAAGACTTCCCAAAGAACATTCCACACAGAATCTCCTTGACAATGAAAAGCCTTTCCTCAACACCTCTATCTGTGCTCAGGACTTTGGCTAACAGCTCTGCCTAAATGAAGCACTACGTGACCAATCACGTGCTGCACCTCGAGATGAAGTGCACCAAAATCTACCACAGAGGCAAAGAAAACACTTCCATGGCATAGAATAGGCTCCAGCTGGTAGTTACACATCCACTGGTTAGTGGGCATGGTAGAGAGTGGCTGGCAGCTGGACCAGGTGATCTTTAAGGTCTTTTCCAACCAGAACAATTCTGTGATTTGTGATAGAAGGAATTCAACAGAAAGGTATTTTTCCACTGCACAGAGGGCATGAGATTAAAGAAACTGGATATCCATAACATCAAAACAGGTTCTTCTCTAAAACATTTCACATTGCTCTCTGGACATTAGCCTTCCCCACCATACTCCAACACTTTTCTGAGTAGAGTTTCTCCAGGACCAGATGCAGGCTGATAGAACCTGCTAAAGAGCAAGCTATAGGAACTGACTCCATCCATGAAAAGAGAGGAAAAGTAATTGGGAAATACCTGAAGAACAGTTCCTGTTAAGAGAATGTTCCTGTGAAGGAGTCAGTTTTCCTCTGTGCTCCTGGCAGCATCTCTATGTTAACATCTTGCACTGGAAAGCTCACTCATACATGAGACCACATAGCATTTTTTAATTCTTACCATAGTTTTGCATTCCCTCCTCCCCAAATTCTTTCACACATTAATAATATTTCACAATATAATAAGAAGCTACTTTTTCAAACAACAGACACAAAAATCCACTCACTGCTGGAATGGGACAAACTACTTCCCTATCAACATTCAATAACGAATCATTAGGATTATGTCAGCCACTTATTCTCTATAAGAAGGAGCCAAGCTCACACCGATAGGATAGCTGGACTATACACACAGTAAATATAAACAAATATGATCACTCCAGCTTTAGAAACATCTTGTCACAATCAATGGCTTTGGAAAAGGCCTTCACTGATCATTATAAAGGGAGACAGTTTGCCCTGTTCAAATTTGAGAGCTGTCCAGATCCCCTTTCTCAAGAAGGAACAGAAAACAGTTGGTCTCCCCTGTAACTGTTTCACAAAGTGAAACACTCAAGGCACAAGAAAGGTTACCTTCACTGCAAATGAAGAGACCAACCAATCTTGCTTCACAGGCACTAAACATCCCCAGACTGGTGCAAAAGCACCAACTTGCTTATGCACAACCTTCCAAACTATTTTTGTTCTCATCCATATGAATGTTTAAGAGCTGATTTCTCTCCCCCCCAAACCTTTTTAGCTTTAGCATGCTGCCTACAGCAGCATGAGGTCATGGTGCGGTATCACAAAATTCCCTGCAGAAGCCAGAGGGAGGAGAGGCTTTGCTGGGTAGATGCCAAGCTTTTGCTCAGACACACACAACCTCAGTACATTTTTCATGCTCTATTTGCTAATTAACAAGGGGAAAAAAAAAACCATGAAGCTGAAAGTCCAGGTTCTTTCAGATTTGGTCCTTTGTACAAGCACGTAAGCAGAACTGTGTCCCAAGCAGGACCTTGCTTCCTTGTAGAGTGGAAGAGCTCAAGGGCACCTTACCTTTAGATAGTCACCTGCAGCACAAGAACAGAAGTCACTGCCAAGGACAACTCTTGGATTTAATTTAGGATTATTCAGCAGAAGGTGCCTGAACAGCAAGTTAACCCCAACCATGCAAACTCAAATATACCTCAACATTTGGGCAAATGCTACAGGAACGCAGAAAAATACCATGCCCTTAGGAGTCACCTAATCTTGTTCTGATTTTAATACTGGACAATAATACTATACTCATTCATACCAAAGCAACTGAATGCACAAGCAAGAACAGATTACATCTGTTTGTAAAAACACAGTATGTACTGCCTAGGTGCCTTCAATACACTCTAAGTGCCTACAGTACTGAGTGTGCCAGATAATCTGCACTGGTATGTTCTATGCTAAGTTTGAACACAGGTCGCCTAGGGAAAAGTGCACTAACTTCCATGCCTGTGACAACTGTTCAGACTGCATAGTACTAATGGAGATACACATGGAAGGGAACCAAGACAACCCAACGGAGCAGAGAAAGGGAGTTACCTGGCAGTGCAGTGTGCTGGTGAGCATCTTCGGTGGGAAGCATCAGCAAGCACATCCAGAGAGTACAGAGGAGATAATGGATTGAACTGGAAAGTCAAGAGATTTTATTTAAGCAAACCATTAAAAGAAACAGTCTCCAGATACAGCTGCTCAGACCTATTCCCTACAGCTGTTCATACAGCATAAGAACACCTCTCTGAAACACCAAGGGATGAGGTTAGATGAGAACCGACTCTCAGTTCAGACAATGGCCTTGCACAGGGTGCAAATCTCATAACCATCTTCTCCCAGCAGACAGCCCTACGAGCACACTTCTTTTTCAACTCACATTATTGGAAATGCTGATTGACTGAGAGCGTGCTCAAAGAGCTCTATTGCTGCACATGAGTAAAAAAATCCATCTCCCTCTAGTGAAGCTCCTTGTCCACATTCATATTGTAGAATGGAAACTTAATGCTATAACTAAGGAGAGCACAGAACTTCCCAACAGTCTCAATATTCCCCTATATTCACACATGTCACTGAAACAAACCTCTAAAAGGCTCAGGTCCACCAGGATCTGCTCACAATGAGCCCAAAATTCATTCCACAGCAAGTGAGCTGCTCCTCTCAGTTACAAGCTTTACTTGCAAACTGCTTAAAACAATTTTCTGAAATCACGTGTGGTCAGGCTAATCTTACATCCTTTGTACGGCATACACTGACAAATCCTGAAGACATCAAGCCTTTGAAAGACAGTTTATGGTGGAAGATGCAGCCCTACATTTTTTTAAGGGATGGGAAAGACATGGAACAATCTACTCAGTGTGGAGAGCAAACCTAGCTCAATATGCAAATAGATGGCTTAGGCTAGTAGTTACCCTAGGGTGTCCACATTACAGTTCCATTCAACGTCTATTTCTTTGTAATTCACACCACAAGCAGGAAAATTCATTTCCATCTGTTTTGCAAAGTGCTTGACCGATTTCCAGAATGTTTGCTCTTATATTACTAGGATTACTGACGCATTTTTAAATAGGGAAAATCCACAGCTGTAGCAACTCTTGTCATCAATGTTATATGGAAGCCTAGAATTCAGTATTAGGCCTTTATCTTCAAACTTTCTGATGCACTACAAAGCTTCTGTTTTCAGTGAGCTGCTCCTTAAATTGGGCTATTAGTTTACCATCAGTGAAATAATGCTGCAGCTGCACCATAGGGGAGAATCATCAGTACCTCTCTGTAGCTGAAGCAAGTTCAGTTATGAAAAATAAAACTAATTTATATTGGTCATTTATAAGCTGAGTTATCTCTCTTATCTTTAACAACATAAAAGTGGTATGTGAAATGCTGTCATTAATAACAAATGCACAGTTGCACAAAGGCCATAAAATTATCTCTTTGCACAAAGATTTAAAAATAATTTCTTGCCATATGTGTATCTGTAGTCACCTAGAGTGTAAAACAATGTTTGGTCCTAGTGTTCACTAACCAAAAGTCAACTAGCAATAGAACAGAAGGGTAGGAACACCACTACAGCACTACCATGTAAGTGGAAGATCTTTTTTGCTAGCCACTATCTGGAACCTGGAGTCTTACATCATGAATAAAACAGCCTCCTACCACTGAAGGTATATAAAATTTACAAAGGAAGAATACAGAAGAAGTGCCTACACCACAGATTCATTCACTTAAAAGAGTGCCCATTCATTTCTTTCTATTTCCTGTTACATCTGCTATTTAATTACAGCCAGATAACAATTTGTGTTTTTAATTTTTTCCCCTTCTCTGTTGATGAGACTATCAGGAAGGAGCTTGAGCCAAATAAGGCAAAACAAAGCATGTGAGAAATGTTCTAATTATCATGGAATTCTGTGAGGCCAAAGTTTCTCCTGACAAGAGTCATTCTCCCTCCCACAAATTATTGGAGAGGAAGGCAAACACTAACCTGAAACACCGGGACAACAAAAGAAGCCCCTGAGCTATTCAGACAACATAATGCCAGAGACATGGGTTGCACTCAAATCCAGAAGACAACAGTTACCAAAACAAAAAGGGACAGAGCTACTGGAATAGGCTGCCCAGAGATGAGGTTGATGCCCCATCCCTGGAGACTTTCAAGGCGAGGCTGGACCAGGCCCTGGGTAACCAAACCTAGTTGTGCACATCCCTCTTCATTGCAGGGGAGTTAGACTTGATGATCTTTAAAGATCACTTCCAGCTCTAAAGGTTCAGTGATTCCACATTACCTCATGTGCTAAGGCCACGGTGTGAGGGAAATCAGAAGCCAGCATTTTGTTCTTTCCAGAGAGAAGGAAACCAAGAAAATAAAAAAGGCAGAGCATAGACACAGCTTACCTGGTTGCGATCTCTCTTCCCCATTGATGGTAACCAAAAACTGGAAGGAGGCAGAGTTGGAAGGGCAGGTGGGAGCCATGCCACGGAAGGAATGAACATTGAGGGGAAAAAAGAGGATGAGGATGAGGAAAAAAGGGCAAAGGAAGAACAAACACGGAGGGAAAAAGAGAGATTAAACATCACTATTAAAAACAACAAATGGCAAATCCAAGTAAGAAAACTGAGGACTGACAGCTGGTGAAGGCTGGACGCACTGCATTACAGGTGGAGAGGAGCTACATCTACCTAATTATAGCCCCACAAGAACAGCATTAGAGGGATGCCAAGGGATAGGCACCATCTCTATTTCTATTGCTGACTCTAATTTTAGAACACAGTTTGGGGAAGGAGACATAACACACCCAAGAAAGAGAAAGCAAATTCACTACTGCCTTATCAGCATCGTTTCTGCAGTCACAAAAAACTGACTGCAACCAAAAGGGCATTTGAGCAGCTTCTGCATACTGGGGCAGCCTACTAACAAAAGGAGAGTCAGCGATTACAAAAAAGAAAACGGAAGATCTGTCAGTAGAGGACTGTCTCCCACTCAGCAGTTGTCTGTATTCATTATTTACCACAAAATTCTTCACTCCCTTCAGTCACAGAAGGGAAGAGGATCCCAAAGTTCTTCCTCCCCTCCCAAAACCTTACACAATAGCTGTTAAGCGCCTTACTCTTTCTGGCGTGGATCACTAACATGACCTAGCCTCTCAGTGCCCACAGTGCTGATGGAGGTCTCCTGAAACACAAAGAGAGGTAAAAGGTTGCAGACTCATGCAGAGAGCAGTCATGGTTTACTGCTGCTAATAAAAACAAACATTGCTGTACCAGCTCAGTCTCAGCTAAACATCCTCTCCTTTTAGAACCCCAACTGAAGGCCAAAGACCATTTTGGTTTTATTTTATTATTGTTATTGTTGTTTTTTAATTGTTTTAGTGACTACAATTGCTTGCACAGGGGTGCACGAAGGACTGGACCAGCACAAAGCATACAGCACAAGGACACAGTTAAGAATGGGGAAAATGGAATCAGTTTACACTAGTCAGCTGGGTCACATGCAGGCTGAAAGACAGAATACTACAATATCTTACTAAAAAGAATGTTCCTCACAAAACTGAATTCAGTCTCTCCAGCCAAAGGGGAAAGGGTTCCATCAAGTACAGGTGAAAGAAACAAAGAGGAAACATGAAGTTCTCCCTCTAAAAACAGCAATTTAGTAGGAGGACATCTAACAGCTAAAGGAAAGGTGTATCCCAGGAGAAAGGGCTTACTCTGCAAGCACATTTTTTTCTCTCTGACTGATGCTGCCTTGTGTTATGTGCTTGATAATGGCATACACACATAGCCTGACACAGCAACTGTTCACAGCTGCATAGCAACTGCATCAGAAAAGAGAAGTGCTTTGCAGAATGTCTGAAAATGAGGATAAAGAATGCACAGGTAAGATTCTCCAGAGCTTCTGCCAAGTTACATAGGCAAAAAACATTCGAAGTTCAGGGGGAGTAGTAACAGCAGGGGTGAAAGATGGGCTATTTGTTACAGCAGGAAAATTATTAACTTAAAGTGCAGTAATGTTTAAATTTACAGTTTATTACTGTGTAAATTACAAGCCGTACTTTTGATAATTAGCAGCTCGCTGGCGGGGAGCTCTGAACGAAACTCATTATTTATGATTACAATTTAGAGAGAGATGGGGAAGGGGGAGCAGTGACCTCCGCTGCAAATGACAAAGATCCCTTTAAGGTGATGAAGATGAATTAAACAAGTAAATATTATCTTTCTCATTTGGATCATTAGAGGTGCTGGCAATAGACCCAGGTGGCCTGAGGACTCTACCCAAAGCTAGTCTCTTGCCAGATGATGATTCATATTTTAAGCCCCTGTTATAACTAAGCAAGGTGAGTGGAAGGAAGAAGGGGCAAACAAGGATCTTTCAAGTGTGACAACAGTTTCTAGGTGAGTTTCTGACACTCACCTAGAAAGCAGACCCATGTGACACTCCTTAGAGATAAACAAACTCTAAAGCCAGCCAACTAAGAATATAAGCCACTACATTCAAGAGCACATCTCAGTAAAACCTAGCACAGGCCACAACCTCCACCCTCATTAACATCTTTTATAGAAGACAACTGCACTCCATACTTCAAGATTCAGACCAGATGCCTGCCTTTTTTAGACAGGTATTTGCCAAGTATCATTTATTCTTTTAAGAACAGGATGAGCTTTTTTTTTTTTTTTTGCTGTTTACCCTACAAATAAAAGACCTGGTCAGTGGCTTTGGGTAACACTGCGTATACCTACAATTTCACCCTCTTTCACTTCAGAGTCAGCTTTCTGCCCTTGTAGGTGTTACTAGTACAAAAAGGTCTCATGCCTCATCATTTTGCCCTACATTCTGTCTAACTCTTCTTCTATCATTCATCACCAGACCTCCTTTTGTATCAATTTTAGCACTAACCAACTCTCTTTGACCCATTACATCTGTCTTAAAATCTATATTCTCTCAGTCAGCTTCCAGCAATCAAAGCAGTTTCACCAAATGGAAGAATTTATGAAATAAAAACGTACAGTGCCCCCTTTCTGCAGGAAAGGGCCCATGTACTAACTTTGAATAGTACTCTAGTTCTAATCAGCACTGGAAATAAGAGGTACTATGTTGCAAAGGGCAGTACCTTGCCAACAAGCCTCCTTCGACCTTTCCGCAGACAGCGAGCAGCAGCTCCTGGAAGGCGGTTCAGGCGAGCGTGAAATCCTGAAAAAAAAATAAAAATCAAACACATGAAAATTGGGGATTCTTCCCAGTAAAACAGCAGGAAAAATAATCGGTTTAGTGGTCAAATCAGTATTTCCACCTCTGTTTCTCAATAGTAGATATGCCTTTTTATTCACAAACCATAATCTTTATTTAACAAAAACCAAACCATAAACAGAACAGAAGGACTCTGAAGGATAAGTTCTTTGGTATCTTCTCCACATCATTACAAAACACAGATCATCAAAAGCATTTTACGTTGCAGCACCTACGAGTGAAATTTACTCTTACCATCACAGCAGAAGATCAAAAACACCTTATTCCTTATGGAACTCACCTCTTTGAGCTGGTCGTGAGGGCAAGAGAAATGTGGAATCTGAGAGCTTGTCCAGGCCTGAGTCAATCCGTTCCACTTCAGAACGGTGGTCAGCTCCCCACTTGGGAAGAAGGTTGGGGACAGTAAATCCTGGGACACATTCTCCCTCATAAAACCAATCACTCTGCTCATCATCTCCTAAATAAAACAGATTGAAATTATCCACAAGAAAAAACAACGTGCTCTGTGACTGTCCCACACACTACTACAGATAGGCATTTTTGGATGTAGAACAACAGCTGAAGTCCATTAGGAATTCACTCCTGGAGAGCCTTGTATTTGTATTCTGTTTCAATCATTCTGTGACTATGGGATATCACTAAATGCTTTAAATTATCCAACTCGGTCTACACAATTTCCCTATAGAACAAAGCCTTCTTTATAGACGTGCCTAGGGCAGCTTTAGCACTCTGTTGTGGACGCATCTCATCAACCTTAGTTCAATGCTGTGTGATGTCTAACGCACATCTATTTCTGTCACAGTAATTACTTCAGAGAAAGAGAAGGCACTCATTTGGCACACTGTATAGGCAACCACAGGAAAAATCTCACAACAGGACAGCAGGCTCGCTGTTTTGGATAAGCAAAAGGAACGTAGTCACTGATGAAACAGATCTCCTAGCACAGTAGCTAACAGGAATAAACAACGTTGTCAGAACCACAATCTTCCCTGCAAAAGTAGAGCACCAACAACAGAAGTAATTACGAAGGTCTCCACAAAGCATGGCCACTGTAATTAATATAGCTGCAGCCTTAATAGTGAACTGCCTTAGACACCATTCATGGTAAATCTGCTGGCCAAAAAGCCCCTGGAAGTAGCACATGAGCAACATAAAAAAATAAAAAAAGGAAACACAACAAAGAAGTTCTTTATGATCCCAACTGAGAAACAGTACTGTTTAATTGCAAAGTACTTCATCGTGCCTTAAAATACTACTAACACACCTGACCTAGGGAAAACATTTGCCTACCATTAAGACTCAGGTATTTCCAGTCACTCTCCTTTCTCTCTTAACCAACTCACACTATCTGTGACTGAACTCCGTTTTATCTTCAAAAAGAAAAAACCTTCATGCTGGTAAAACTCTTGCAATCTTACATGTAACAGAAAAAGCAGCACCCATAACCAACTCCAATCATTAACAGCTAGGACAGCCAGAACACCTCCTCCCAAAGCTATAAGCATGTTTCATCAACTGACGTATAATCATATTTATGCACATAAACACACACACACACACCCCACACTTCCACCTACCTTTAAGCAAAAACCAAGTAAGGTTGTCTAGTTCTTTTTAAGTGACCATACTACGTATGAAAATATCCCCAAACTTTTGGCTTTATGAGCATAGCACACCTCAAATCACTTCTTCCACAAGACAAACATTAACAATGAAGATCATATGCTGATACTTCTTCAAATTTCACAACGAGATTCATTTAACAAAAACGTGCAATAAAATTATAAACTAGGACCATTTTCCACTCACTGAAACATACTGGAAGCTGGAAAACATCTTAGCCAGCATAAACTACTTTACAGCATAAACAGTTTGAGCAGGCAGAGGTGATCATAAACTTCTTACAGGTATGCATATGTGCAAACATGCACAGAGCCTACATCAACATTGCCTTCAGTGATGAGCTAAAATTTCAACCTTTCAGTCAACACACAATGCCATCGTCTGATATGTAAGTGCTCACTAACTTCAGCTCTCCCAGCAGAGTTAAATGCAAAAACAGGGGATGAGAGATTTTTTTTTTTTCTGTTGCTCTTGAAGAACAGAATACTGGAAATCATTATTTCTCAGCAAAGGGCAAAGCTGATCTCTGAAATTCCTACCCTAGGCAAAGTGTTAGAGCCACCTCAGGTCACAGCTACACACCTCAGATCAGCCCTACAGCCTAATATAATCAGAAAAAATGTACACATATTTGCTAGCATCATGTTGCCCCTCACCCAGACACTGGGGTCAGTAACAAGTGGAAGCAGTATTTCTTACCGAGTTTAGCACTCACATATTCCCAGGAGAGATCTCATCCAAATTATAGCTTTTGACATATGACAGAATAGACATCAGCACAAGCTGCACAGACTTACAGATCTCCAGGGTCATACCCCACCTGCTCCAAATACAACAGTCCCATGCCTACTGCAAGTGCTTTCACACTTACTTCTACCTTATCTCTCATAAACTGAACACTTCTCACTGATAAATAAAATCAGCATTCGTTCCACACCCAAAAGCCCTAAGAAACCATTTCTACAATAGACCTTGAAGATACTAGGCTCAACTAATACACACAACAGCAATGCTCTTCTTAGCACAGTTCTTTAGATGACTTGATAGTACTGATTATTTTGGAGTTGTTTCTTCCTTCCCATTGGGAAAAAAAAACCAACAGATAGGGCTCTAGTGGTAACTAGATAACAATTAAAACATCTATAGAAAGACACTGTGAATTTTACTTTTTTTTACTATGGAGAGCTTTAAATTTCTCTTGTCTTTCTAGGCCTTGCCATAATAGTAGTTCATTGGGGTTGGGTTTTTTTGGTATACTAAATGTTATAGATCTGATATGAACGTGAGAAAGAACATTTCTTTACAGTGTGATGGAGCACTGGAACGGGCTGACCAGAGAGGTTGTGGAGTCTCCTTCTCCAGAGATATTCAAGACCCAAGGGGACCCGCTTTATCAGAGGTTGGTCTAAATGACCTCCAGAGGTCCCTTTCAACACCTATGATTCTGTGATATACAGGAGTGTACTGCTACCAAAGCTGCACCTTTATGACCCTCAGATCATTTTGATAACTTCTGGCACCTCACAGCCACTGGACTTTTACCCACATTCTCTTCCCTGTCTGGCTTCAAATTCAGATCTTTCTTCAGATCTGGCAAGGGAAATTCCCTGTAACATGAGGAATATTTCAGGACAGTTGTTACCTTGGCGGCCCTCATCATTGGTAAACAGTCCGGTATCACTGCTGCTGCATACACTGCTCGTTTCACTGGAATGAAAACAAACAAATGAAAAAAAACATTGTTACAACACCAGCAAATACCAAACAAACATTTCACTAGTTTATCTGAGCTCACAATACTTTACATCACAGAAATTGGGTATCACTGCATTTCGTATACATGGCTCGGTCTAGCATGTGTCATGGTGGCTCCCTGTTAAATCCTAGCAATGCTGTATCACTCGACAAAAAGCAGAATCTTGTATCTAGTCTACTTCTAAGGTATCAAAAAGTAATTAATACACTGGCAATTGCGTGGGGTACTAGATTTCATAACCTAACTATGACATTGTCTGGAATCTCACTAGGAAATTAAGTGCAGTTAACTGCCCTGGGGATACTTAACAGATACTCAAAAGCCTCTTAAGTTTTGTACTTCAGGTTTCTTCTTCTCAAACGTGTTACCCAGCTACATAAGGCTCTCTTCGATCTACAGCAACTTCTACCTCCTTTGCAGGGAGGAGAAGCAGGTACATTTGTAACTCCAGCTAAAAAGCATAGCATGACTTGCTGCAGCTGAATGCCGCTCAGCACTGTGCATTTTGCATTTACTGAAGCAGTTACAAGGGACTTACTCTTGAATCAAGGAATTAAACAAGAAATTAATGCGTTGACTGTAAAATTGGATGAATGTTTGCACCAGAAATACACACACACACAAGTCAGCCCCAAGCATCTGACAGCTCTACTGCTGATACTAAATCAGTCCTCAGGCACTTCATAGAAAGGCTTAGGTTGGAGGGACCTCAAAGCCCACCCAAGTCCCAACCCTGTGCCATGGGCAGGGCTGCCCCACTAGATCAGGCTGCTCAGGGTCCCATCAATCTGGCCTTGAATGTCCCCAGGGACAAGAGGCATCCACAGCTTCACTGAGCAGCCCATTCCAGCACTTCACCATCCTTTAAATAATTTCCTACTACATCAAACCTAAATCTCCCCTCTTTTTGTTTAAAGCCATTCCTCCTGGTCCTATTACTACTAGACTGTGAAAAAGTTGGTCTCTCTCGTGCTTGCAAGCCCCCTTAAGTACTGGAAGGCTACAATGAGGTCTCCCTGGAGCCTTCTTTTCCCTGGGCCGCACAAGCTCAGCTCCTTCAACCTTTCTTCATGGGAGAGGTGCTCCAGCTCTCTGACCATCTTTGTGGCTCTCCTCTGGACCCTTTCCAACAGCTCCTTGTTCATCTCGTGTGGGAGCCCCAGACGTGCACACAGTACTCCAGATGCGGCCTCGTGAGGGCAGAGCAGCCACACATTGCTGCCACCTCTCTTTTGATGCTGTCCAGGATTGGCCTGAGCTGAACTGCACTTCAGGTAATACTTCCTCCAATTTAGCTGAGAAATATCATAACAAGTGGTAACTACTTACTGCCCTTACACCCCCTTAGTACTAAGGTCTCATAGGAGATATGAACATCAATTCAGAACTAGAACCAAGCTCTGATTGAGGAGCATTGTTACAAAGCTCTCTGGCCTCCTACAGGGAAACTGAGTCATACTGACACCAATATCAACAGAAAACCCCTTGATTCACAAAACAAAAGGATGAGAGATCATAAGAAGCATCACTCCAAATAAATGCAGGAACATAATTAAACGTTTTCAGTTCCATTATGGTATTGAATTTTATTTTTTATTATGTTACTTTATTATTTAAACGTTATTAAAAATTTTGGAGCACATTATTGCTCTTGGAAAATACACTCTTGAGTACAGCCAAATCAATTCATCATGCTGGATATCTATAAACTCTGCATCTTCATCATTATACAAAGGTCATATAAATTTTTAAGGATGAATGGTTGGTATATCATTCCCACATTCCAGTATGTAAGTTAATATCAAATTCCAGCTCAATCCATTACAGTGTGTGGTTGTCCATTTGCCCTCCCACATATACAACAAAGCAATTAGGCCAAGGACTGATAACCACGAGTCATTTGTTTCATTCCTAGCTCTCCTACCAACTCACTGTACGACCCAGGGCAAATGTCAGTGTGTCTGCTTTCTCCTTTGAAAGCCTGGATTAAGAGACCTTATGAGCAAGGATTGAGTGACTGCTTCATATGGGTTTGAAGCATCACCAGAGAAAAGATGCCAGAGAAAGGAAGAAGTGTTACGTAAGATTCCAGATCACTTTAACTGCACTTGAAGCCTTCTGTCATACTGACAGCTCCTTTGCTCCTTACAGATACACGTTATTGCCAATGCCTTACTTGAATCAACTTTCATGGATCCCACTTCACCCTCTTTACAATTTCACACTTCAGAGCTGAACACAAACTAGACTCCTCCACAGGCCTTCCTACAGGTCCAGTAAGCACTGATTAATGACCTCCACTTGCAAAGGAGGCTACTTACCTTAACCATGAAATAATGAATCCTATTGATCCGACAACCTACTGCTATAGAGTGTTATTGATCACCCAATCTTTGGTTAAAATGGTCCTCATTTAGCAATTTCACTGTTGCAAACACCTGGAGCAAAGCATGCTTATAATTAAATAGTTTGGGGGAGTTAAAGTGAGAGGTGATGGACAGAGATCTCAGGTTTACCCCATTTATTCTTTCTCGTGAGCTATTGTTTGTGTCAGGAGGGATATTGATTTTCTATAAAAATAAGAAAACAAGAGGCACCGAGGGGCTGCAGAAGGTCAGGCTGGGCTGGAGGAGGAGGGGAAGCTGAACACTCTGTCTCTGTCATTTGCCTTCCAAGAGAGGAATTTTTTCTTTACCGAGAGATTGGGTTTCAATACATCAGCTTAGCCAGGCTCTCGACTGCCACTGCAGGCTGTTAGGAAAACAGCCCTCTTCCAGTGAGTAAAGGCAAATGCACTACACACTCGAGAAGTGATGGCTACAATCCCAGGCCAACAGACATCAGCTGCAAACCAGCAAAGTCACACAGAGCCACTGGGGGAGGGCAATGACCAGCTCAAAAAAGTGAAGTTACATCACTTGAGAGTAGATCAGGCAAACCACAGAGCTCTCACTACTAAGCACATAATTCAAAGTGATTTGTCAAACAACTCTTGACCATGATTTGCTCTGGCTTCAAGTTAAACCCAGATCATTCTGAAAGCGCTCAGCTTAGACCAACACGAGGAGCTTCAGCACTCAACGTATAATTTCCCTATGCCTTATTATGGCTACAGGGAATCTCAGAGCATTAGAGGAGAAAGAAGGGCATGTTACCTTAGCAGTTAATTGTCACCCCTGTACAAGCATGCAGATGACTATTTAAACTAAGACCACTTGCTTCTTGTTATCACAATTATCAATGTCAGGCTTTGAGTCATGCCATCACCCAACCCAGAAACACGTTCCTGCACACCTTTCCTCCTCACTGTGTACACTGAAATTTGGCAATTTCAAATATTTCATTTCACGTACACTACATACATGCCTACAAGCAAACTTCCCATTAAATATACATTTCCAAAGCTTTCTCAGTGAATCAGTTTATTTCCTGAATATAGTAGGCTTTTGATCTGACTTAGAACAAGGAGCTCTCTTGAAAGCAGAGAAAACAGTGATTATTTCATCATCTAAGGAGATCTACTCCTACATAACATAAAAATGAAACAGCCTCTAATTGCAGCAGGGGATGTTCAGAGCGGCCATGGGAGGAATTTCTTTACAGAAGGGGTAGCCAGCACTGGAAATAGGCTGTCCAAAGAGGTGATTAAGTTGCCATCCCTGGAGGTATTGAAGAGACGTGGATGTGGAAGTGACAAGGTTTAGCAGTGGAATTATAGTGTTAAGTGGATGGTTGGAGATGATGATCTTAAAGGTCTGTTCTAACCAGAATGACTGTGATTCTATGAACAGAAATGGAACCAATACTGTATCAAGTTGCTCCATACATCACTAGATCACAGTGGACTGGTTCCAGGTACTGCAAGCTTTATTAGTCGCTTTCCCACCTTGTGATGCCAACATACCATCCTTTCTCATAGGTATCCATTTTTCTTCTCTCTTCCTCAGGCTACGCTTGTTATACAGCTGTATGAAATACCTCTCTCATGGTAGCAGAAAAAGGAGCAAAGCAGCAGTAGCAGAGCAAGAGTGAGGTAAGCAAAGCCAGTTTCACTTTGCTAGCAGCAAACCGCTATATTTAGAGCAGCAGAGACCAAGCGTGATCCTTCACTGCTGCAAGGGGCAGTCCACAGCAAAGAGGGTTATGTGTGTTTTTCTCTCCAACTTTGACACTCTTGAGTGAATCACAGCACAGATCACATTTGTGGTGTTGGAGAGGTCAAATATTCTGACCTCTGGATCTCTGAAGAGAATCTCAAAGACTTGGCAGCAGAAAGCAAACAGCAAACAAACACTTGCACAATAATTTGTTTGAAAGTAAGGTACACCTGAGACAGAACAAAGTGATATCCTCAGCACGGACCTCAAGTAATAGTCCGACAAAGCTGTTTATCTGCTCTTCCAAATTCTGGCACAAATAAAGCCTAGATGAAAGCCTGCTGGTTTAAGTTCAAGTTTGACATGATGGAACAGACTCTGACTGGTAGAAAAAAACCCTCAAGGAGCTCTGTCCATCACTGCCACATCAAGTAAGGGCATCTCTCAGTCCATCACTAGTGACACACAACATTCAGGGGCTACTCAGCACACTTCCTTTTCTGGACTGCCAGCACACAGCACTGAAAAGATAAGTGTTTTTAGCAACTAATACCAAAAAAGGCATTCACTAGCATCTTGAAAAGGCACATCTTCCCTCCTTTCTTAACCTAAAAAGAACCACTTTTCAATGGAAAAAAAAAAATCACTTTTTATGCTTCTTCTACTCTCTTAACAGTTAGATAAAATGCTGGTTCAATGAAAATGCACTACTGATCTGTAGGACCAGGACAGAGAGAATGTACTACAGCCTGTGCTTTTCACAGCCTCTCAGAAAGTACCTGTGAGGAGTTTGCACTTCCAGTTATTTTCCACAAAGCCCTCAATAACTGTATGCCACCTGTTCACTGACAAATTGCAGTAACTAGATAGCCAGAACACTTAAATGAACCCGAACACATGAACAATTACACCAAAGCAAACAATTATACTTCTCAAATTCACTGTCTCTGATAGTGTCTATTGTAGTGAATACTTGTGAAAAGCATATGAGACTGTAACAAAAGTGGACTGACCATTTCCTCAGTACATTCATACAGCTTCAGCAGTTTCAGGACTTCCTGAGACAAATCTTCCACTTGGCCTGTAATGCTTATCAGCCCCTAGAAAATCTACCCTCCACATCCCCCTTTCGTATACATACAAATCTTGATCTCCAAAATGTCCCACAGCAGTTTTACGAAAACAAACAAAAAAGTTTTCTATTGAATGTCTCCTGCTTCTTCAACAATGACAGTCCCTATCTCCTTTCTGTATGCCATTTGTTACAACTCCTCCATTTGACTCGCAGCAGTTGTTTCTCTTCTAATCCCAAAAAATATTTTTGTAAAGCAGGAGTTTTATAACACCGAACCTTCTATGCAGAGAATAAAAATCAAACTCAAAGGGAAAACTTCTCAAGAGTGATGCACAAATTCAGATCATGACATTTACGCTTTTCATTTTCAACTCTCGTACAAAACTGCATCATTTGTTCATCAGTTCTTCAAAACTGGACACAAATATAAGCCCGACTTCACAGTTCATAGATTTACCCTGCAAAATTCCATTTTACCCAACTTCTTTATCTTCTCACTACTTTCCTGCCACAGCCTGCAGGAAAGGTTCTGCCTGTCAGCACCTTATTCTAAATCCATAGCAGAAACGTAGAACTGCAATGAAGATGTTTTGACTGAGGTTCACACAGTACCTGCACAGAGGTCTAGCATTCATTGTCTGATCAGTTCTCTGTTACTGCTTATGGTAAATTCTGAAAACAAGAAACTGCAAACAGATCATACCAATCAGACAACATAAGTACCAACAGTGGATTTATCTGCCAAACGTCAGGCCACAAGCATGCCACTTCGTAGCAGAAGGACCACAGAATTTTCAAAGAGCTGCTTGTGTAATACAAGCCAGAAACGTAACAACTGCTAGCTTTTCAAAGAAAGTGTTTGGGTCATCATCACGGCACTGACAGGAAAAGACTGTTGGGAAAAAAAATCTGAACTTTTAAAGTAGCTGAGGGATTTTCTCTACTCAAAAAAAGAGAATAGCACTGAATAAGTTTGGAAAGAACTTCCAAAGGCAAGGATTTATAAGTAGCTGCAAGCAAGGAAGCCATCTAGCTCTAGCATGGGAAAGAAACGAAGACCTCACCATTCAGACATATTTTCATCCGAGCCTTGCTTCTGTTCATCAGCTTCACACTCCATCCTCTCCTTCCTTCCCCCCTTGCTGAGGAAGGGCCTGTTCTCTCCCGATTCACAAAGGCCACGACTAGATGATGTCCACGGGGCATTTTCCTTCCAGCGTGAAAGACGCTGTTTCTTGGCTGACTTGAACCTGCAGCCCCTCTCATAGTTCCACTCTGACACCCTGAGCTTTTGCTGGAGACTGGCAGCCACTTCTGATGTCACGCGTTTGACTTTGCGGCGGCGCCTAAGAGGCCGGCAGGGTGCATTCTCTGTAAAGGAGTCTGACTCATGCCATGAGTGTTGCTTGCTCCTCAGGGTGGCACTGAGAGCTGGATGTCGTTTGACCACTGCCATGTCATCAGAGTCACTGAAATTGGCTGTCAGCACCTCACGGCAATCCTTCACAGCTTCATCCAAGCTGGACTCAGAGGCCTCACTGTAGCAGCAGGCGTGCTCTGCCTGATGCGTGAAGTCTGAGCGTCGTTTGCGACCCCGCCTCTTGCGAAGCTGGCGTCGCTGCTGCCGTGGGCTTAGGGCCATCTCTTCCCATAGTTCGTCCAGCTTGTTTTGCTCTGAAGTCTGTTCTAAGGCTGAGGCCAAGTCATGCACAAGTTCATCCATTGGCAATGCCTACAAAAACGACAGCAAACAATTAGTACCAGACATAAATGCTGCCACAAACACATTGCTAGACTACAGCATACTACAGCAGAGTTACACACTTTAATTGTCTGGGAGAAACAATGCAATATATCTGCTGTTTCTTGAGCTAACATTCACTCCTTCCTGTTGCAGGGGTTAAATCCCACTTCTACCCATGGTGGTGGAAACGTCACCACTGCAGCAGTTGGGTCAAGTGCTCCGTATATGAAAAGGCCTTACATTTGTATCTTTTGCTTGGAAGGAATGTGTTCCATGTTCCATTACACATCTTAAGGGTAAGAGAGCCCGCAACTAGTTTGCTACCTGGTATGCCTATGTCAATTACTGTAAGCTACAAAGAAGGGTTAACAGCTGCAGCAAGCAGATTGAAGTCTTCCAAAAAGTAGACAGGCAGTAAAGCCATGAGCAAAACGGAAAGCAAAAAGGCAGTCTGCAAATCAGCTTCAATGCAGCAGCAAAATAAGACGCACGGGGTCCCACACTCCTAACAACAATGTACGTGACACCAGGACCCAGCTGCCAGGGGCAAAATCCCCAGCCTTTCCACCTCCGTACTGCCAGTGAGCCCCTCCTAAGGACTTGGCCAAACTCCGACACTGCCCGTGACCGCCGGGCCGCCCCACCGCCGGCACTTTGGGCTCTCGTACTCGGCCACTTCGCCCAGAACACCCGCGGCCCCGCTCCGGAGCAGCACTGGCTGCCGCAGGCCTCATCCTCCGTCCAGGCACCCGGAAGGCCGCACCGTAACGCCTCTCCCGCTCCCCGCTCCGAGAAGCCGGCGCTCTCCCACACGCCGCCGGGCAATCCGCGGCCCCGCAGGGCAGCTCAACGCAGCCCGCCGCGCCCCAAGGCCGGAGCGGGAGGGGCGTCTCGAGCGCCGACGCCCCACTCCGACCCCACCGCCGGGCCGTGGCCCCCGACCCCACTCACCGGGCAGCGCCCGCTCCGCCAGCCCCTCGCAGCGCCGCTTCCGGCCTTCCCGGGCCACTTCCTCCCCGCCCTCCCCGCCGAGGGGCGGGTCTGGTGCCGGGGGCCGGCCCGGCGTGGGGCGCTGCGGCGCCCGGCAGCGCGGCTGGTTGAGGGGTGGCGTGCGGCCGTGCCCGGACTGCTGCGGGCTGTTAGAAGCCGTTACAGACCGTTGCTTAGCGAGGAGAGGTGCCTGGATAGGCGTCCCTGCCCAGGATAGCCGCGTTCTTTCATGAGTCCTTCCATTCAGCCTTTTCATAGAATCGTAGTCCCAGATTCGCTGGAGTTGGAAGCGACCCTTAAAGGCCATCTAGTCCAACTCCCTGAAATGAGCAGGGACGCCTACGGCTCGGTCACGGCGCTGAGAGCCCCATCCAGCCTGACCTTGTCTGTGTCCAGGGACAGGACGTACACTGCATCTCTGGGCAGGCCTTCGCTACCTTTACTGTAAAACCTTCTTTACACCCAATCTAAATCTCCCCTGTTCTGATTTGAAACCATTTCCCCTTGGCCTGTTATCACAGACTCTGGTAAACAGTCTGTCCCCTTCTTTCTTATAGCCCACCTTTAGATACTGGCAGGTCACTTCCAGGTCTCCCTGCAGCCTTCTCTTTCCCGTGCTGAACAGCTCCAGCTCTCTCAGCTTGTCCTTGTATGAGAAGTGTTCCATTCCTTGGATCAGACCCTTCTTGGCTGGGGATGACCATGAGGTGTCTCAATGCAGTGCCACATCAGGCAGGAGAGCTGTCCACGAGGCCCTGTCCCTGCAGGACTCGCTGCTGAGGTTTAATATCACAAAACCACAACCATACTTTCCCCAGATGAATATCCCACCTGTGTTTGAGTATTTCACCCTACAGATCACTTCACAGCTCTAGAGTCAGCAGAAATCAGGCCCGGTGCACAAGGCCTCTCCCGATGCTGGGCGCGCAGGCATCCCTTGATTTAGTGGGTGTATGTTATCACTTGCCATTGGTTTATGAAGTTCTTATTTATGGAAATATCAGTCCCTGGCTTATCTGACCCCTGGCCTGCTTGTGAATGAAAGTAACACATGCCCTGCTGAAAGCTGGTGTTTCTTATTGATTTTTTGAAGATTTGTGCGTTGGTTGGTCCCATTGCTGGAGTCTCAGCCCATGTCTCCACAGACCATTAGCTGCTAATAGAAGCTGAATGTTCCCAGCTCTTGCCATGTGCTTCTCCTTTTTGCTGCTTGATTTTTTTTCTTTTTAATTGTAAGATGCTGGCGATCAGTATACCAAAACTGATCAGGTACCAAAAACTGCATTTTATACTGAATTTGTGTATCTGGATTTGTATATCTGGAAATACACTGGACTTGTACATCTGGATGGAACTCAGTTTTGTTATTTTCTAAGATAAATCTCTCTGTGCAATTTCCTTGTCCTTAAATCTGCACCTCCTTCCGTCACAGCATGTGCCTGTTATCTCCCCAATTTATGGATCATCAGCAGCCATCAGAGTCAAGCCAAGTGCGACCCCAGTTCCATTTTCTGCAGCATTCCCTTTTGTTTCTCGTCTTTCCGTTTATTTAATCCATGTGGCAGCATTCATATTCAAGGCAATATTAGTTCATTTTTCAAGTCATATTTTACAAGGCAGTATATGAAAGGATTTGTTGAAGCCCAGATATATTATGTACATGGCATTCTCTTCATTTGCTAATTTTGTAAATTAAATCAGAGAAAGTAATCAGGTTTGTCTGACATGATTTATTCTCTATAAACCTACGCTGCTGCTCGTCGCTCAAAGATCTATTATCCTTTGCATTTTTACATTTTTTTCCTGCTTCTACTTATTCTTTTATGAGGCCAGGAACAGAAGTTTTACTGAAAGGGTGATAATTGCCAAGATCATGACTTCCTCCCTGCTTCCCCCTGATACCATGCTTGCTTTTCCCCATTTCCCTGGCACCCCCCCAGTTTGTCAAAAAATAACGGTAAGAAAATCCTTACGTTTGTGGCTGATTCCTACACCTTCTGAAATGATCATCATTCAGCTTCACTGAGATCTCTCCTTGCTGTTTCTCCAACTCAACCTTTATTCTGAGCTGTAATTTTAACATTTTCATTACCTTTTTGTTGTCTGAGAAATTTATGTGGAAAAGAAATATTAAAAGAACAAAAATGGCCATTTGATAAATCATTTTTATCTCATTCCTAATGTCTGTCTTCAGTTTAGTTACTTTCTCTGCACCAATTCATCTGTACTTGTCTGTCCTTTTGTCTTCTTAACCCCTTCAATTGCAGTACCTCACTCTATTGACTGCAGCATTTAGTTTCCTATTTTCAGTACAGAGGTTTTCTTTTTACTCTCAGATCCTAAAATCTAATCCTGTTTTACCACTGCAATCCTTTTCCATGCTTCAGGACATAAAACATCTACAAAATGTCTGGGTTACAGAGAAACTCCCCTGGTGGGAAGGTTATTCTGTAAACATCCACTTCAGAGCTTCTTAGCTCTTCATTTCAGCTCTGTGCTGGCTGCAGTACTGAGCAGGATAACAAATTACACAAACAGTTGTGTAAAAGAATTCCTGTGCTCACACGTCCTGAGGAGACAGCAGCAGATGCCCACTTTAATTTCTCTTTTTCTCCATTCATTTTCCCGAATAGTTCGGTGCTGTTCTGTTGGTCAACAAGAGTTTTACAAATCGTATGATTTTTAAAGCACCTGTCAATATTTTTGCAAATTTCACCATTTCAAACTAACTTCCAAGAGATGTCAGCAGCCTTTTTCCTGACCTGGGAGAGATTAGGGGATGTTTTTATGGGAAAGTTTTGGTGGTAACAGAATTGCTTTTGCCTTTTGCAAGAGTCACAGGAACTAAAATGGTGCCAAAACAGGGCACTGCTGTGTATAGGGAAAAAATGGAAAATTGTCAGTAGGAGTTGGTGAAATATATTGGGGAAGAAGTGGTAATCTGGTTTTGAGCTGTTTATGATATTTCTGTTCTGTCTCACAAAGTCCACTCTGAAGTGGAACAGTGACTATAAATTTTGAATCCTTGCCTGAGTTCAACTTCACCCCACATCCCCGGTGAATTATTCGATCCCTCTGTAGTTTGCAGTTTTCCTGCACAAACAACAGGGACTGGCCTATTTTTCTCAGCACTAATTTTGCTTGTAAAAAGCTGTAGGGATGCAAAATGTTCAGGACTTGTATCCTGAGTGGATTATTAGCCTTTCCTGGGCTTTGCACGTGCAGGCATCTTTCTCCTGCCCAGAATCTGTAGTCACCAGCACTAAACTGTTGCTGGGACTTGATATGAGAAAGAAGATGCTGCTGGCAAGGGACGTTCCTGAGGTGAGCAGCGAGGGAAGGTCTGTGGGATGCTCACAGCAGGGATGGCCTGCTAGGACAGGAAGAGTAAAGGGGTCGTTGCTGTACCCCAGCAAACATTCTGCATGGTCCCATGGTGCTTCTCAGCAAAACCTTCCAGGGGTTAAAAGGAAAAAGAGAGAGACAGAAAGGGGACAAGAGACAAAGGGAGGAATAAAGTCAAAAAATGTGCCGTGAAGCTTCTTGCAGCAAAATGCGGAGAAAGTCATTTCCAACTTCTTTCATCTTGGAGATGAAGCCACTAAATAAAAGGGCAGCGCAGAACACAAGGGCTTTTAATCTGTCTCATCTCCTTCATAATAACTGCAAATTTTCCCTGGGCTCCTGGGAGTGAGCCTCTTTCCTCTGTCTTTGCCTTATCTCCCCCCTCCATATTTCACAGCCGGCGCGGCTCCCCTCACTCGGCTGCCCCCGGCCCAGTCTCCGCGAGGCCTGTGGGAGCCGCCAGCTCCCAGGGCCTCATTGTTCCCGGCTTGGGAGGAAGCTCAGAGAGGGAATTGAAGGCAAGTCAAAGGGAAACAGCATCATCGCTGCTTCATTAATGGGAACCTTTCAGCAGAAAACATATCAGAGCGAGGTCTTTTCAGAGGCAGTAATTAGCAATTTGGAGCCTTCCCCCCTCAGGAGATGCAGCTGCGATCTAACAAGTGGGAGCAGTGCTCGCCTCCTTTTACGCTTCATATTTATTGTTTTCCATTTTCTCCATCTTCCTTCCATTGTCCAGCCTCCTCCTCGCTGCCAGATAAGGGCCCTTTATTAATCGCTCCCTTTTAATTCTTCATTAATGATAATAACTTTCTCTGGCGCATGGAGAGGAGTTAATCTTTCCTGGGTATTGAGAAAGGACAGGGCTGAAAGGGAGGGAGTGAAGAAGTGCACGATGGACAAGGCTGCGCCGCCACGTCTCCCTCCCACCCCACCACCCGGAAGGAGTTTCTGAAGACTTTGCTGTTGAGCTGCGAGATGCCCACTGGAAGGCTTTGGGTGGTCAGTTTGGATTTGGTGGGCTGTACCCTGGCTCAGAGAGCAGGCCCTTAGCAGGAACAGGTACACTTGGGGCAGACGGTGGGGCCTTCTTGATGTCTTTGTGAAAAAAACAATGTCTCCTTTTCACTGATGGACTGTGTCGACTCGTCTTGTAGGAGTGTCCCCTCAGACACCTTAAAAGTCCAGTTTCCCAATAGCCAACACTGTCTGCATTTAAACAGTACTTGAAAGTAGAAAGGAATTGTATGCGGGGGGCCCTGCACAAGACAAGACCTCTCTGGTGCCTCCCCCCAGCAGTTGGCAGAGCCCGTGTCTGTGCCTTGGCTCACTCCCATCTGGAGGTCCAGGCCATCACTAGGGACATCTGTGTGAGGTGACTGCTGGGCCGGCTCAGCACTGGCAGCCTGGTAACAAAAGCAGGATGAAGATAGCAGGAATGGGAGAAGGCTGCCATCCAGGCTGTGGACATGGGCACAGATCTGTAACTGTTGAATACCAGCCACAAGAACATGGCTAGGGAGGACAGAACTGCAATATGCTTATACTGCCTCGCTTCTCCTAGAGTTTTATACCACTGGTTCCACAGGGCCCCTGCTGGTAAAGGTCACACAAGTATCTTGCCTACTAGTGGTAGACATCATCCCTTCTTGGGTAGCTGGATATGCCACCACCCCATTACGAATATTTTGGTATTCCCAAATACAAAGAAAAGGGGACGAATGTTACTGTTGCTAGGATAGGTGGCTCCACCACCTCACCGAGGAGCAGCAGGTTGGCAATGCTGGGAAATGCTGGGAGAAAGGAACAAATGTTCCTCCTTCATAAGAAGAACCCAGGAACTTCAGTGTAGAAGCTCAAACCCATTATCTGCTTACTGTTCTACACACATCAGCTGCTATTTCTGTAACACACTCTGAGGCCTACATTTATGTTCCTCTGAGTAATGTTTTGGTATTCATTTAGTCCCAGTAATCAGGAACAATCTGTCCTGCGACAGACCTCTGCTTAATTTGCAGTGATCGTAATAGACTAAGGTCTAAAAGAACTTTCTATCTCTGAACCTGAAGCAATATAGAAATGAGGGCTGACCAGTCTGCAAACATTGCATTTTGACATCCAGATGGGTCAAGCAGCCCCTGGAATGTTGTTAAACATTGTTGGCTTTTAAGGTTTGTTGTTTGTTCACAGCACCTCTGCATGAAACTTTGCTTCCACACAATGAATGGAAAGAAGTATTTCAAAACATGCATCTGTTCCTCAGATTCAGGGAATTGGATCTTCCATGGTCTATCAGTGCTCCCTTGCACAGTGGAGATAGAAAGACCAGAGGTAAAGAGAGCCATGACGTATGTGGAACCTGATGCACAGGAGAGCCAGCCTTTTTACAGTATTGTAAAGAATATTTGATACATTTTACTTGACAATTGCCTTTATTTCTCCACAGATCACTGGCTGCTGTAGGACTGTAATAGTCTTGGTTCTTACAGATGGCTGCCTGTCCTCCGTTCTATAGCTGGTTTAACAACGGTGGCCTCTGAGCCACCCACAGGAGCACTCATCAGTCTGCCAGCAGAACTTGGGCCCAACTAAAAAGAAACATATTCATCATGGCAGCAAAGAGCTGGCAGTAGCACTGGTGATGCTGGTGGGCACTGGGCCATCATGGATGTTAACGCTGTGTGGCAGAAACTCAATGCTAGCTTGCTTCCAGCAAGAACAAGAGATGTTTCACAAGTAACGGGCCTCAAACAGAGCCAACTGCAGAGATCACCTACAAGGACCGGTGAAGCCTCGAGGAGAGTGGAATAATGCCTATTTCAGTTATAATAACTGCAGGTGTTGCATCCTGAAAGTCCTCTTGCTCCTCTCCTGTTGTCCTTGCAACTTGTCATTATCTTCCTGTTGTAGTGAGAACAACTGGAACACAGGAGCACAGCAGGTCCTCTTAGTGCTGCAGGGCATGTCACAAGTCTGCATAAAGCAGCCAAGAAGGGTTGCCAGAAGGCGTCACTGGTTGTATTGTCATCCCTAATTTGAGGAGAAGATGAAGATGTTCTGCTCGCTGTATGTGAGAACAGGGCTGGCTGTTTCAGCCAGGGGCAGTCGTTGGAATAGTCCTGCATGTTGGTTGGTCTGGGCTTGATGTTTTATCTTTACACAATGAGCTATTATGCACATGGGATCCATAAACAAGCAGCTTTAGAAAGCAACCAAGATGACAACGTTTCCCAAGTCACAAACGCTACTAAAACATTTGCACGCAACAGCAGCTGGATCCCTGTTTCAGGCTGGACTTAAGGTTCCCCTGCCATGCAGATCAGCCTACAGCCAGGACTCTCCCCCCTTGTCTCTGTGTACTTGCTTATCCCTCCCACCACTTTTCTCTTGCACTACGTATTTTCCTGCTCCTTACCTCTTGTTGCTTGAGTCCTAAGTAGATCTGCTACAAGCCCCTGCCCCTTGAGCAGATCCTGTTTGCTGCCTTGCCTGGTTTGCCTGCTGGATTCTGTGGCTTTCTCTGGCTGTTCCCAGCACTGCACCCAGGCAGCCCTCCTACCACCTCATGCAGTGGCCAGGGGAGCATGCAGGGCTGACATTGCCAAGCCTTTTGGAGGTTTAAGTGCGCTTCATGGCAGGGAAGAAGGCGGTAGCATGGATCTGCAGGGAGGGGGAGGGGAGCAGCCTGACAATCCCCTTCGAATTATAAACATATCCTCTTTAAATACATTTCTAAGGATAACATTTGTATTACTGCGTCCTGTGGCTGCTGATAGGGCCCTGCTTATCGCCTTGGTCTCTCCTCCTTTCTCTGGGCCCTGCTGGGAAAGGTCCCTATCTGGAGCCGAGCTGGCAATCCTCTGCCAAGCAATTGTTTCAGTCCAGGGGAAAAATTAATTTCTGCCTATCGTTAATTGAGAGAATTGTGTGGAGAGCTGGGAGGGGGGCTGGCGGGGGGAGTGGGGGATGGAGTGGGGAAGAGAGAGATCGTGTTATTAACAGTGTCCCTTTCATAACCAAATACCCTGATTTCCATCAGTGAGATGAGAGGCTCATTACAGCAAGAAGGTGATTAGAGAACTTGGAAGAGCTATCAGGCTGAGCAGGAGAGTGCCAGAGAATTCGGGAGGGACTCCCAGCAGAAGGGCAGCTGCTCCAACCAACCATCCCCTCTCACCCTCACTGCCTTCCCCTCCACCCCTCCTCTCCCTGTCGGACCCAATGACCCCCTTCACACATCTCTGGAAAAAACTGCAAAGTTCCAAAGATCAACAGTTTTAGTGGCTGAAGAGATGCTTTG